TAATAAAAGTATAATAGTTTAGATACAGTTGAAATATCTAAATTTGAAAATATACAATTTATGAATACTTTTCTGGGTAAGATATTCATTATCCACTTGTAGACTTGTCAGTATATCATATTTTAGCTTATAAGTTTAAAATAGTTACCATCTTTGCTGAAAAGCTCAAATATTTACATGTATACAAAGGAAATATAAGTTGGCCGCCTTTCTGTTTTAAGGAAGGTAATTGGAGGTGAAGACTAAGAAAATTGCTTGGGAGATTAGAATTTAATTTTCAGCTTCTGGCTTAAAGTTGGGAGGTACCCATACTTAGTATCTATACAGCCATGATAATGCCGTTCAGAACAGACCCAACACTGAGACTCATTCCCAAGCTTCAGCTGCTTTACAAACCACGCTCAGATTTCCTATTCCTGCGGTTGTTATTAAATGAAAATTGAAGTGAGTTTCAACTAGGGAATATTTGGAAATATTTTTATTCTCAGCAATGATTAGGTTTTCATTCTTTCACAAGAGAATCTGTCAGTTTAGGAAATGTAGGTTGGTGATGGGTTTTCAGGATCTTGAAGATTTAGGGCAACAAGAGTTTATTACCTGTTACAATGGCTAGGGCTTTAGTAGGTTATTGTAACCATAGATTCTTTTGGTTGCAAAGGACAGAAACAGTGTTTCTCAGTCTAACTAAAAAAGGGACCTTATTAGAAAGAAAGGTTGCACCACATGGAAGGATAAAGACTGGGGAACTGGGACTGGGACCCAGATTGGTATCAGCCGTGAGAGTCTCTCAAGAGGCTTTATTGTCAGCCCAGTTTGTTTCTGTGTGGCTGCTCTGTTTCTTTGCAGACTTAAATTATACTCATCATCTGGCCCAAGATGACTCTAAGTCACTTTCCAGCCCACAGAGAGAATCTGATTGTTCTGAGCTCATTTGGTCAAGCCTGACCACCCAGATTACAGGTTGCTGCTCAGCCTGTGAAATGGGTCCTTGTGGCAAACAGCAAATCTGTTGTGGCTAGAGAAGCTTACAAGATCTGTTGAGGGTTTTCACTCAATTTAAGGAAATTGTGGTAATGCCTATGCTGAAGCTGTATGGAGTGTCTTGCTAGCACTGTGGAGAGGGGGCTACCTAATCCCTTTGGTATCTTAAGATGGTTTACCAGAAAGCTTGGAACTTGAGCCTTGAAGAAAAGTGGAATTTACTATTCAAAAAAGGGAGTTAGGGAGGCCAGATAGAATGGCCTGTACAAAGACTCAGTTGTCACCGTGTGTTTTCAGAATCAAAAGTGTTTATGCCTGGATTTGGGGTGCAGTTAGATGATGCAGCAAGGTCAGAAGGGTGCCTTTGAGGAAGTTTAAGCTGTGGAGTGACAGAATAACATTTAGGGTTCAGAAAGATGACTCTGGCAGCTTTTTTTTTTTTTTTTGTCACTAATAAAGGGTTAAAGTATGATTGGTTAGGAGCCATTGTGGTATTGCATGTGAGAAATTATGAGGGCCTGATGAAGGCACTGACAATGGAAATGAAGAAAGAAGTTATATGACACGTATTTGAGAATCTAAGCAGAATTTATTGACCAGTAGTGGTTAAGTCAGTATGGGCAGAATCTTGGAAACAACTCCTGAAGTCTTAGCAGTTTTATAAAACAGATTAATTGTTACACTTGATTGGTGGGGTTAGGAACTCTACTCATTGGATCACTGGGATCATTGGATCACCTGTCTTGAATTTTGCTGGTCACTGTGGCAGAGACTCTAATAGTTTTAACAAGTAGTGATACTTTACTAGTTCTGTTCATACTTAATTGACTAAGGTGAGTTATGTGGCCGCACCTAAATTCTAGCAACAAAAATGGAATTTTACTGTGTACCCAGAAGGAACTTTGGAAGTACTTGAGCAACATTAATGACTGTCACACTAGTGACTCTGGGCTTTCAGACTTGGGCAGTGTGATGGTATCTTTAACTGAGATATGAAGTGTAGGAGAGGGCAGAATTGGTAAGGAATGAGGTTGGTGAATGTATTTTGCACTTACTAAATGAAGGGGTGGGTCCTCATGACTACCAAGGTGTAATCTTGCAGCAGGCACTTGAATCTGGGTGTCTGGAGTTCAGGAGAGAACTAAATTGGAGATTTGGTAACTCAAGGTGGTGAGTTAAATTGAAGTGTGGAAGTATTTACTGAAGTGACAATACATAAAGTGCTTTGACTTATATGTCAGATAAGTGGGGATTTTTGGTGTTCCTTAGCATGAATCCCAAATTCAGTGGCTTTAGGCAGAAATGAGTTGGGTGGCAAAGAGGTAGAAATGTTTTGGGGTTTTTTTTGCAGCTTTAGTCAGCAGTACTAGTACATTAATAATATAGTTTTTTTTTTTAAAGGTTTATTTGTTTGAAAGAGTTACACAGAGAGGAGAGGCAGAGAGAGAGAGAGGTCTTCCATCCACTGGTTCACTCCCCAGATGGCTGCAATGGCTGGAGCTATGCCGATCAGGAGCCAGGAGCTTCCTTCAGGTCTCCCACGTGGGTGCAGGGGCTCAAGGACTTGGTCCATCTTCCACTGCTTTCCCAGGCCATAGCAGAGCTGGATCGGAAGTGGAGCAGCCGGGACTCGAACCGGCGCCCATATGGGATGCTGGCACTTCAGGCCAAGGTGTTAACCCGCTGTGCCACAGCGCTGGCCCCAATAATATAGTTTCAAATTTTAAATGTAGATACAGTTTATTATCACAATGTTTGGCTAATATTATTAATGTGGTTATTCTATACTGTTTAAAGATAGTTTTGTTATGTGAGAGATTACAGAGAGAAACTTTTGAATTTTTAAATTTTTTTAAAAAAGATTTTATTATTTATTTGAAAAGCAGAGTTCAAGAGGCAGAGAGAGAGAGACACCCTCCATCCACCTGCAACAGCTGGAGCTGTGCTGATTTTTGAATTTTAATATTGAATGTTGGTGCTGGCACTGTGGTGTAGTGGGTAAAGCCGCTGCCTCTAGTGCTGGCATCCCATGTAGGTGCCGGCTTAAGTTCCTGCTACTCTACTTCCAATCCAGCTTTCTGCTGTGGCCTGGGAAAGCAGAAGATGGCCCAACTACTTGGGCCCCTGTACCCACATGGAGACCCGGAAGAAACTCCTGGCTTTGGATCTGTCCAGCTCTAGTTATTGCAGCCATTTGGAGAGTGAACCAGAGGATGGAAGGTCTCTTACTCTGCCTCTCTCTAAATCTCCATTTTAAATAAATAGAATAAATCTTAAAAAAATTATTTGTAGAACTAGTAATTACATAGTGTGTCTGAATGATTTAAAAATTCTTGATTAGTTGAAAAATAAGGTTGCATGAGCTTTGGAATTAGATGATTAGTCTTGAAATCCTAAGTGCTATTTGCTTGTTCAAGGCATTATAGTCAACTTCCTTATCTGTTTTGTAAATCATAATAAATTACAATTATTGTAAAAGTCATATATAATATTTTTCAAGTGATCTGTGCTTTTTTAGTGTGAACAATCTCAATGTTTCAAAAGGTTGTACATTTGTTATAGATAAGGTATATGTTTATTGGATCTGTTTTTTTTTTTTTGTTAAAGAATTATAGACTTTAAATGAGAAGTTGAAAAATGTCCATGAGGATGGTAAATTTTATTTTATTTTTTAAAGATTTTGCTTATTTATTTGAGAGGCAGAGTAACAGAGGGAGAGAGAGACAGAAAGGTATTCCATCCACTAGTTCACTGCCCAAGTGGCTGCAATGGCCAGAGCTGGGCCAGGAGCTTCTTTCGGGTCTCCCATGCAGGTGCAGGGGCCCAAGCACTTGGGCTATCTTCTCCTGCTTTCCCAGGCCATAGCAGAGAGCTGGATTGGAAGTGGAGCAGCCAAGACTAGAACTGGCGCCCATATGGGATGCTGGCACTGCAGGTGGTGGTTTAACCCATTATGCCACAGCGCCGGCCCCAAGGATGGTAAATTTCATAATCTAGCAAGATGGATTTGTATTACAAAAAAATTTGTGCTATGTCTGCTTCATTTTTATTGTAAGTCTGCCTAGGTTGAACTTGATCAACTAGGGCTGGAGTTTATGCTTCTTTGCATATAAAATATGAAAATTTTTTTTGGTAAGACCTTTTGTTTGTAAAGTCACATTGCTGTCTAGCTTAAAACAGTCTGTTAAATGCAGAAGACTTTAGTTTTGGTTCATGTTATCTGGTTGTTTATAAGACAATTGAGAAATTTTTAGTGATAAATGCTAAAGAATCACAGAGTTGGAGTAATTATAAAATTTGATGTCTTGGTGATGAGCAAACTGATTGAATGGCTTCACTTTTACTGTAGGTGAGGCTGTATTTGTAGTAGTACTCTAGGAACTGCCTGGGATTTTCTTAATTTCCTTAAATATAGAAGTGTTTCATGTTTATATCATCAGCTGGATTGAAAGGTGTTACTATAAAAAAATTGAAGTCCTAAGGGTTAGGGGGTTTTATAAAGGGACTTTGCCCATTTATGATGACATATTGGGTAAACGTCTGTGTGTTATATCAGCTGTTTTCATACTTTACTGATTAATTTGAGTTTCAAGTTTTTAAAAGTAAGGTTAGAGACTGGCCTATATTGCCTCTGCATTGGCAGATCAGGATTAAATGACTAAATTAAATTTTATGCCTTAATGATCCTTAGCACCAAAAATTTCTTATGTGTTGATTATGTAAGACTATGTAAAGATACAAGAAGTAACTTTTAAATGCAAATAACAGAGCCAAGCAAATGTTTATAATTGTGTTTCTTTTTTATCTTACAGCAACACACCTCTTGCTTTTTCCTCCAAAGTATGTTATGTTAAGTTTCGTGACCCATCAAGTGTTGGTGTGGCCCAGCATCTAACTAACACGGTTTTTATTGACAGAGCTCTGATAGTTGTTCCTTGTGCAGAAGGTTGGTATCTTACATGTTTTTTTTCCCTATTGTTTAATGTTTGTCTTGTCTGTTACTGCCTTTGACTTTCCTAGAAATGGCAGGTAGACAGTACTGGTGTGTGGGTATGTATGTATCGTATATATGTGAAGGATAGAGGGAGAGGAAGAGAAAGAATATGTTTGTAAAACCAAGAATGAAATTTGGAGAAGGAAGGGATTTTTACCCAATAGTAAATTATTTTAAAATAGTTTGCTTGATGTATTTCAGATTTTATGATTTAACATTTAAAAAATTTGTAAGTTATTTGGCTTTGCTGTTTTTGCTTTGGCTTTCTTGTAGTCAATTTTCAGGTTGTAAAAAAGCTTCCTGAAATTAAGAAAAATAGAGATATGATATGAGAAGTTGTATATGTAAATAAATATTTACCCTGTGTGTACAATATTAATAGTATTACAAATAAAAATAGTGTACACATTTTACCAAATAGAGAGGTTAAGTGGTATTTATAAGAAAAATAGTCATAATTTATGCTTTCAAGTATCCTCTTATTTTATTACTTATGAGACTATTGTTTCATATTCAGTATAATTGTTTGCAGCTAGAATTTATTTTTTTCTTTTATTGGCTTTTGGTAGGTGGTAATTGAAAAAATTATTCTGGTCCCCTCCCCACCACCTGCATTCCAAAGCCTCGATCAAGGAAATAGTTGTTGAAGACAGGAGGAAGGCTAGAGGCCTTAGAGTTACTTGTTAAATTTTATGACACACTGCTTTAAGAGCTAATTATTACTAATAATTTTTAGTGACTTCTTTTTGCAGAGCCAATCACATACAATAGACTGTGCTGAATTTTGACAGTTCTGGTGTGTAATTAACTTCTATTCAGAGCACTGACTATGGCATGTGTATATGAATTTTAGTATTAGATTATTGTAAATTTAAATGTCCTTAAAATAGATTTTCTCTGGTGGATAATGGTAACTGTTTTACAACATACAAGTTCACTAGAAATCATTTAATGGGCTTTCATGTGTAATTTTAAAAGTTGTTTTATTGGCCAAGTTAACATTAATGTAACATCATATATAATCAGTTTGCTATACTATTAGATTTTACGGTTATTTCAGAATGCCTATTTTGGGATGTCAAAAACCTTACACTCAAATATAGTGAGTAATTAGGCTGGTATTTTTGAAGTCCCAGAATAGGACGTTCTGGAATTTTTCAGATACATTCAGAGTAGATTTCCCTTGCTTGATGGGTTACAGTGAGTAGAGAAAGTAAAGATTTATTCAAAGTTAATTATTTGCTAAATACATCCTTATCTGCTGATCTGTAAGGGTACAGTGAAACCAAAATTGGATAGGGAGGTGGGAAAGGAGCTGGTTAATGGTTTAGTTCTTCATCCTTGAAATTTCATACCAATAAGCTGCAAGAGAGAAAAATCAGGTAGAAGGATTTAGTAAACAGAAAATTATCCCACCAACACAACAGGCTCTTTTATTAATTAGCTCCTTACTATTTGGAAGAAAGAATTTTATCATTGCTTTGGTGGAACCTTTGATATATTCCCATAGAATTTTTGATGCAGCAAAGAACCCCTTTGGTTTGTCATAGATATTTAAGGTTATGGGTATATAGAGGTTTCTTTTGTTTGTTTTACATAATTAATAAATGCAAAGTCAGTTACAGCTTTTTAAAAATATTTTTACTATTGTTTTGAGATAAAATTTACCATTTTTGAACACGAGACTATAAAATTGCACTGAAATTTGGTTATAAATAAGTGAAAATTTTAAACTATAAAATAACTGGTATTAGAAAAGCATTCAGATATATTTTTCATTAGTTATATTAAATTAGCAATTATGAATTTATGAAACATGAAGGTTTTCTGTGAAATGTTGGAAGTCTGATTATGCACTGCAAGTTAAGAAATAATGTATTATTATACTACAAAAGCGATGAATTTGAAAAAGCCGAAGGAAAGTATCCCAGGGCAGTAAGTTCTGGAAGCAGAGAAACACTGTGATGCTGTATGCAGTCTTCTGTTCACTTCCCCGACTGCATTATTTTCCTTGACCTTACAGAAACAGCATCATGACGTAAATGAGGAAAGCAGTAGGCAAAATATTCAGAAAAGTATTTTTGGTTCTTTCATTGGCTATTTTTTAGTGCAGACAGTGAAGTAAGAAGATTTTGCTGTAAAAGTAGTGTTGGATTTGTAACAGTTTCATACTTTGGAAGCATTAGCTGTTGTTAATAAAATAGGCCATTTCAAAATAAAACATACTTTCATTATGCTTGTCCAAATATGACCTCTTTTTGTTGTTGTGTGCATTTCAGATTTCTTTTATAAATAAATGTTAACACTTAGAAAAGGATAAGGTCAAACAAAAAAGGGTGTCAGCGTAATCATCAGTCATAACTTTATGTCCACATTTTTGGTAGATGGATTTTGACTATTAATTTGGTTTTGTATGTTTTCTCTATGTGATATTTGTGCATTATTAGATGACTAGACTGGCCAAGGCAGACCTGTTACACTTGCCTGAGTTAGGCATTGTTTGCCATGCCACTAAACCTGCCGTCAAGTGAAACCTTCATTGGGGAAATGAGATCGGAGTCTGAACCGCAGAAGATGGACGCCCTGTCTCTGTTTTTTATTGTTTTGCTTTAATTTCGTTTCTTTTTCTTTATTTTGTCCCTTTTTTTTTGTTTGTTTTTGTTTTTGTTTTGTTAAAATCTCTTTCACTTTAACTTGTGAGCTGGTTCTCCAGTTCTTCGTAAATGGTATTCCATTAAAGGTCATAATGTGTTGCAAATTATATTGGGAAATGACTAGAAGAGTTCAGCCTTAAGATGAAAAAAGTTTTCATGCAGTAAATTAGGATATAGTGTTGTAAAACTCATTGGTGTTTGTAGACTGATCAGATACATTTTGTTCTCAAAACATTAGAACACTGATAAGAATTTAAGGGACACTTTCTGATCTCAAGGTAACCTTTTTTGTAGTTTTTTTCCAAGTCCACATTTCACTGATTGCTTCTAATGTTCATCCTTCCCCTTAGAATTTTAGGCTTACAAAATCATTGGGGAAATTAAGTGAATATCTTACAGCAGTTTGAGTGGAGGAGAAAGGAGCCTTTACTTATACGTTGCTTATTCATTATAGAATTTTAACTTATTTCCTTGACTTACGAAGATTTCATTTTTTTTTTTTTTTTGCCTATGTGGGGAATGGATATTTGAGAAGCATTGGTTACTTATTTTCATGTGTATTTTTCTGTTTGCTTGAAAATTTTTTTGAAAATATTTCTGAGATTATAGTTTTAATTGAATTTTAATATTAAGATTTAGACTTTAATCCCATGAGAGATGTTTTCTTCTCAGTTGTCATTGAGGAGTATAATATGGGAAAATGCTAAATGCATTTTATACTTCTATGCACACTGATTGGGGACTTCAAAAAATTAGTGGAAAATTTGAGCAAAGAGATAAAGACAAATTTTCCATGAACTTTTAAAAGCCCCCTCAGGTTTGGAGAGTGAATTTGGTAGTGTTCAATCTTGAAAATTAAGCTGTGGAACTTTTTCTTTTCTTAACCCATTATGTCCCATTGTGCTATATATATGGCACATATAAAAACAAATTGAGCAAGAAATAAATTGCTTATGGTAACTTTGAAGTAAATATTATGTTGTTGAATATTTACAGAATTCAGAATTTGAGACTTTAATGGGTTAATGTATCTTTAGTGATAATTAAAGTAAGATAAAAATATTAGCTTACATTTATAGATAGAGATTTATAGTATATTACTGTCATCAAAGTCTGAATTTGACAACCTACTGATGCTTTATTTAAGCCAGAAGAGAAAGACTTCATGATGCAGAATGTTTTGGCATGTGTTGAATACCCATTTTTGTTTAGTCTTCCCACACTGTCTTTATGGGTAGTTTTGGTTATTAATTGGCAAGTAATATTAAATTTGGAAAATTACTGGGTTGGAATCCTTTTTTTAGGTGCAGTTATTAGGATAGTAAAGCATAGGATTTGTACCTCAGAACTTCAGTTGATCTATCCAGTGTGTTCAGGTTTTATAAATCTTTTTCAGAAATAATATCTATTTGTAACAGTAAAATGTGTGATATTAATATAAACAGTATAATATATTTGAGGATATTCATGAATACATGTGTTTATTAGTAATTAATACATATAAAATAGGTTACTGTTATTTGATGTCTTCAGTGAGGCTACCTACCTTTTGTTTATGCATGTTAAGAAAGCTGTTTTCCAGAATTTACTTTGAAATAAGATATTTAAAGTAATATAAACTTACATGCTGCAAAGTTAGAAAATAGTAGGCATTTGCTAAAGCTAAATAAAATGTGATTTTTATTCTGTTCCTATAAATAAGATACAACTTATTTAAAGCAAGTTTTAACTTCCATGTTGAATTTATCCATGTTTTTTGAATTTATCCATGAAATTAGGCATTGAATTGCTTTTTGAAAATTTACTATAAGCTGTGTTTCAGCTTAGTGTGATTTTGTACACTGTCTTAAAACACCTGAAGAAATTTATAATGGAAATGTGTAGCTAACTACCACATGAGTAGTTCTTCCTATGTATGTAGTCACCTTTTTAAGAAATACTTTTTTTTTGGCTAAACTGTAGGTGGGGAAAATGTGTAAAAGTTACGGTTCTCACCAAAATTAATTGATTAAAGTTCAACAAATATGGCAAGTCAGTGTATTTATTCAAAGTGAATTTTTCAGCTTTTAGGCTTTTTTCCCCTTTAGTTTCTATGATTATTTTAGAATTACCTGTTGTTATTAGGCATTTAAAATGTTGATAAGACATTTAAGCCACCCTTCTTCAGATAAGTATACAGAAATTGACTCTACAAGATAGCAGTTTCCTGAGAGTTGGGAACTTTTTTTGTTGTAGTTAGTTATCCCCAAACTTGTAACAATTTTGCAAGGCATATTCCTTGGAACTGGACTCAGGCATCCTGGATGTTGGTGGGCTGCCTTAGTAATTGAATGTGTGTAGGCTTTCTTTTAAATTGCAGCTTGATTATGTGGAGTAGATTTTTGTTTTCTTGTTTGTTTGAAATTGGATGGAATCAAATGGAAGGTTATCAAAATTGTTTGCATCACAAGTAGGTAGTTTCAGTAACAGGATAGGGGCACTCATTAAGGAACAAATTTCAATTCGCACATATTTGTTTTTTCTTTTTCTTTTTTTTGACTGATTTGGTTATTTGCCATTTCTGGGGATTAAACTTTAAAAAATGTTCTTCTTTTCTGTATCTGATGTTCTGTGTGCTATTAGTGATGCAGCCAACACGAACGGTTGTCATGTGTAACACAACTTTCGATCACCGCGAAAACACCGCCCTGGGAAAGCGTCCATGCTTGATATCGTTTGGTTCATGAACATTAAGTTTCCAGTACAGGTGACCCATAGCTCAAAGTGTTAAATAATTGTCTACATTATTCAGTTTTTAAAATAATATTCCATTAATGAGATTGTTAGTCTTTGAAGTTTTGCTCACTTTTATTTTTCCTAGTAGAGCAGGATAAAAGGAAAGACTTAAGTTCTTATTTATTTCTTTGTATGGATCTGATAGATAGATTCTCATTTATTATTATTATTTTTTAAGTGCAAGGGTAATTGTAAAATGATAGTGTAACGTTTGTGTGGTGTTTCTGCTTTCTTTAATGTTTGGAACTTGCCTCTGCAGGTAAAATCCCAGAGGAATCCAAAGCCCTCTCCTTATTGGCTCCTGCTCCAACCATGACAAGTCTGATGCCTGGTGCAGGACTGCTTCCCATACCAACCCCCAATCCCTTGACTACAGTAAGTGCTTCCAGTCCTCCAGTGAGTGGCAGAACATTCAGCTATGGATTGTTTGACTGAAGAGCTCAGAAAATTACTTGCATTTTGGATCTTTTTTTGGAGAGAATTTGAAATCTCTACTTAAAGGTCTTTGTTTTTCCTCAGGTTCTCACTGACTTAAACTGTTTTTTGGAATTGCTTCTAAAGTAGTTGGGGATTTGTTAAAATTTGATAACTCAGATTACTCATTAGAAAATCAGATATTGGCCGGCGCCGCGGCTCACTAGGCTAATCCTCCGCCTTGCGGCGCCAACACACCGGGTTCTAGTCCCGGTCGGGGCACCGGATTCTGTCCCAGTTGCCCCTCTTCCAGGCCAGCTCTCTGCTGTGGCCAGGGAGTGCAGTGGAGGATGGCCCAAGTGCTTGGGCCCTGCACCCGCATGGGAGACCAGGAAGAAGCTCCTGGCTCCTGCCATCGGATCAGCGTGATGCCATAGACTAGAACCCGGTGTGCCGGAGCCGCAAGGCAGAGGATTAGCCTAGTGAGCCGCGGCGCCGGCCTTAAATTTGTTTTCTTAAATAAATTTTGTATTTCAATTTTAGTCTGACCATATGATACCCTGCCTTTTCTACTTGGTAGCTCAGTAGATTTAGGGAAAATCATTTAATTCTCTGAAGTTCTTTGCTTTTTCCTTTCCTTTTCCCTTTGCTGTCCTCTTCTTCCTTCCTTCCAAGATTCATTTATTTATTTGAAAGTCAGAGTTAGAGAGACAGAGAGCTCTTCCACCCACTGGTTTGGTTCACTCCCCAGATGTCTTCAGCTGGGCCTGGGCCAGGCTGCAGCCCAGAGCCTCTTCATGGCCTCCCATGTGGGTAGCAGGGGCCGGAACACTTGGGTCGTCTTTCACTGCTTTTTTCAGGCTGTAAGCAGGGAGCTGGATCTGAAGTGGAACAGCTGGGACACGAACTGGTGCTCATATGGGATGCTGGTGTCAAAAACAGTGGCTAACCCGTTTTGCCGTAGTGCTTGCCCTATAGTTAATAATCACTGAGCAAAATTAGTTGCTGTGATGATTGCTGACTTTTTTGAATTCTTCATAGTCATTCTTTTGAATTACCATCAGACTCAGTTGTGTATTTGTGAATTCGCTTACGAGGTTAGACATTTTTTTCAACTGCAAAATCAATCCTTTGTGATCGCTTGTGGACACAAAGAGTGACACAATTTGAGTTAATTGATAAGTACATTCCCAGATGAAGTCAAACAAGGTGACATTCTGCCTTGTTTCAACACTCATACTATAAACATGCACACTTTTTACAGTCTATCTAGTGCCATATTTTTTGAAATTATTTTTTCTTACTGACTTCATCATATAGACCAGTTTCCAAGCATGGTACCAAAGTGTTGTGTGGTTTCCTGAGTACTGGAATGTGTACAGGTGTGCTTTATGGAGAAAATATGTGTTTTGTCAGGAGTTACAGTACTGCTGGGCATGGGATTTGTGTTAATGAATCGACAGCATACCTTAAAGTGTCTTTAGGCAGAAATTTGTATATAAAGCAAGGTTATGTATATTTGTCAATTGGCAAAATTATGACCAGAATATCTCGGGAACTTAACCCTATATTTTCCCAGAAATAGTTGTTCAGTACTCAATAATATGAGTTCATTGTTCATGTCAGCTTCATTTAACATAACTACCTAACATGTGATGACATAATGAGACTCAATTGTCCATGTTTAGTGTCAAGTTTAAACATTCTTGAAATACTCAGTTTCAAAATATGAATCTTAGGGCTGGCACTGTGACGTTAGCAGGTAAAGCTGCTGAATACAGAGCCATCATCCCATTAGGGCACCAGTTCAAGTCCTGGCTGCTCCACTTTTTCTTTCTTTCTTTTTTTAAGATTTATTTATTTGATTTTTTTATTTTATTTTATTTGAGAGGTAGAGCCACAATGAGAGGGAGAGACAGAAAGGTCTTCCTTCTATTGGTTCACTCCCCAAATGGCTGCAGTGGTCGAAGCTGTGCTGATCCGAAACCAGGAGCCAGGTGCCTCTTCCTGGTCTCCATGCAGGTACAGGGACCCAAGCACTTGGGCCATCCTCCACTGCTTTCCCAGGCCACAGCAGAGAGCTGGATGGGAAGAGGAACAGCCGGGACTAGAACTGGTGTCCATATGAGATGCCGGTGCTGCAGGTGGAGGATTAACCTACTATGTCATGGTGCTGGTCCTTATTTATTTATTTGAAATTCAGAGTTACAGAGAGGCAGAGGCAGAGAGAGAGAGAGGGGGAGAGAAAGAGGGGGATCTTCCATCCGCTGGTTCACTCCCTAATTACCTGCAACATCTGGAGCTGTGCCAATCTGAAGCCAGGAGCTAGGAGCTTCTTCTGGGTCTCCCATGTGGGTGTAGGGGCGCAAGGACTTGGCCTATCTTGTACTGCTTTCCCAGGCCAAAGCAGAGAGCTTGATCAGAAATGGAGCAGCCAGGACTTGAACTGGCACCCATATAGGAAGCCAGCACTGCAGGCAGTGGTTTTACCCACTATACGACAGTTCCGGCCCCCGGCTGCTCCGCTTCTGATCCACCTCCCTGCTAATGCACCTGGGAAAGCAGTGGAAGACGGCCCAAGTCCTTGAGTTCCTGCACCTAGTGGGAGACCTGGAAGAAGCTCCTGGCTCCTAGCTTCGGATCGGCACAGCTCTGGCCGTTGTGCCCATTTGGGGAGTGAACCAGCAGATGGAAGACCCTTCTCTCTGTCTCTCCCTCTCTCTCTGTAACTACCTTTGAAATAAATAAAATCTTTAAAAAAAAAATATATAAATCTAATTGGATTCGAAACTAATGTGACTTCACTATCTTAAAATTCAAAAATAGAAGTGAGCTAAAGTTAGGAGTCCATAAGTCTCTTTTCATTTTTGTTGTATGTGATTGAATTCTTGTCAAGATTGGAGAATGGTAATTTTGAACACTAATAGAAAATATCTGCCCTGTTACATGTGTGTTTTTCTTTTTTCTTTTTTCTCGTCATAGCTTGGTGTGTCACTTAGCAGTCTGGGAGCTATACCAGCAGCAGCACTAGACCCCAACATTGCAGCACTTGGGGAAATACCACAGCCGCCACTCATGGGAAATGTGGATCCTTCCAAAATTGATGAAATTAGGAGAACAGTCTATGTTGGAAATTTGAATTCCCAGGTAACTAATGAGAAATCGAGAGACCGTCTAAGAAACTCTGTCACTTGATAAACATTTACCTGATTTTTTAGAAGTGTGTACTTTATTAAAGTGTCACTTTGTTTCTTTAGACAACCACAGCTGATCAACTACTTGAATTTTTTAAACAAGTTGGAGAAGTAAAGTTTGTACGGATGGCAGGTGATGAGACTCAGCCAACTCGGTTTGCTTTTGTGGAATTTGCAGACCAAAATTCTGTACCAAGGGCCCTTGCTTTTAATGGAGTTATGTTTGGAGACAGGCCACTGAAGTAAGAAATCTTAAACAAAGACATTTTAATGATTTTGAAACAAATTTAAAATATCTTTGATGTAATTAAGGCCTTTTTTTTTCTTTTTACTAGTAATTGGCAATGTGTGGAAAGGAAGACTTTGTGTTAAGTATAAATGAAATACATGAGATAATTACCATTTTAGTCTTTAAATTCCTGAAGTTATATTTGAAGACATTTATCTTATTTTCTTAATTTTCTGTTTCTAAGGTCCAATCCAGTGTTGATGTTGTTTATATACTCTACCTAACACTTGTGTCTCTTTCTATAAGCTATAGCAAAATCAAGTTGATTTTGTATTATGACTAGACTAATGGGGTAACTTCTCATGTGGTTTGAACTATAGTATTTCTAGTAATAAGAACGTTGGTAAATTCAAAATTGCAGAAAAAAATATTAAGTATCTAGAAGTGTTTTAAACCAATTATTTTTACTTTCAGGATTGTTCCTATCCTTGGTTGTAAAAAGTAACTTTTTAGAAATTCAAGACTAGAAATTCTGTTTCCTGTGATTATTGAGGCACAGTTTTGTCTGAACTCTGTAGATGATTCCCTGAGTTTCACAGTTTGATCAAGATTTTGCTATTATAGAAGAAATAATTGTTCTTATTTCTTCTCAATATGGAAGGGATGAAGTGAGGCACATTGAATTTATGTGCGTTAGAAAAGCTGCTTGTATTAGGCAAAGAGTTTTATCAGAAGGCTCTCAGGTTTGAAGGTGTGTTTGAGTCAGCATTAATACAAATGGTGCACATGATATATAGCTTTCCCTTCATCCTCCCAGAGGGCCCAGATTGACAACAAATTATTCATTGGTATCAACATATTAATTTATTATAATTCTGAGCCAGGTGGGAAAACACTTCCTCGAGCCTGTTTGAGTTGTTGAGGAGATCAGCCAGGGTTCAGCTTTTCTTTTTCTTTGATTTGACTTTGTTAGCAAGAGAGAATGGCAGTGAGGGTAAGGGTTTACTCATGGTTTTGAGGTTGTTTTTGACCATTACTTTGCTATATTGTTCTTACTATGCTTTTTAGATGTCCTCAGATTTATAAGTATCATATGAGCATTTAATTATTTCATGTTTTGTAAAATATGGTGTGTATTTGTGATATGCTAATATTTTTAATTTAGAATAAATCACTCCAACAATGCAATAGTAAAACCCCCTGAGATGACACCTCAGGCTGCAGCTAAGGAGTTAGAAGAAGTAATGAAGCGGGTACGAGAGGCTCAGTCATTTATCTCAGCAGCTATTGAACCAGGTAAGGCCATAGTGTTGTTATATAGATCACAGTTTAAAGATCATAGAATTTTAGGACTGGAAGGGATTTCAGAAGTTATTTTGTTCAGTCCCTTTATTTTACATAGAAGAAGACTGAGACTCAAATAATAAGTGGCCTACTCATGTCAGAGTACAACTTGGCACCAATCTTGACTTCCCAGGATTCTCAGCTGAGATGCATTAGCCTGAATTAATCAGCTCTTTATATATTAATTGAAAACTAAGTATTCAAAACTGATTTGTTACAAGCAAAGTATGTTACTCTGAAGCTGGAAACAAGTAAATATATTTAAAATGTTACAGTTAAGCAGGTTTACTCTCCAAATTTTAATTTTAAAATTAGATGAGAGCCCATGATTTAGATAAAATACAGATACTCTGTTTTAGCAGTTAGAGAAGAACACTAATTCTAAGTTTTGTGTTGCTAAAATAAGTTTAATATCCAATCTAAAAATGTTTAGGCAGTTTACATTTGAGCAGATTTTCTAAATTAGCATTCAGAATTTAAGCTTCAATTCTAGGAAAATAATGGAGACTTGAAATCACTGTCATAGGAATTACAGACATGTTATAATCGTACGTTATGGCAGCAACAAAATATTACGAACACCTGTTTATAATTATCTGGTTTATATGTACTGCTGCAGGGTGGCTGCACTCAACGAGTTTTTGCAATGACTTTCTTGGATGTTTCTGAAGGATAATTGCACAGGAGGAGGATGTACAGAGAGTAGGCCCCTTGCACTATATGTGGTACATTCCACTTGTGCCTAATTATTAACTGGGATCTTTAATTGTTCTGAGCTTACACTGCAAAGTGGTTTTTTCCTCCCAGAGTCTGGAAAGAGCAATGAAAGAAAAGGCGGTCGATCTCGTTCCCATACTCGCTCAAAATCCAGGTCTAGCTCAAAATCCCATTCTAGAAGGAAAAGATCACAGTCAAAACACAGGTGAGAATTCTGACTCTCATATTTTATATTGTTCTCAGTTTTTATATTTAATAAACATTTTATGAATTTTTGTCAAAATAACAATTTAGAAATTTCAGTAGCATTCACCTGGAAGTGTGGTTTCCAGTAAATATTACTCTAGTTATAATGTAGTTAAATTTTGTCTAATTCATATTTAATTCGTAATATTTCAACTGATTATCAATTTTAGAAGTTTTCTAGGTAAAGATGGTCTATTCTTGGTTTTTCTAAGAGTAAACTAGTTTTTATACAGAAGTGACAGACTTTTTATTCAAATTGAGGTCAGGAAACTTAGTGGCAAAACTGAAAATATTGCTTAAGTTGCAGCTTTGTTTTTCCCAGTGTAGTCCAGGCCTGGGGAACACCACCCCGGATCTTGTTGCAAGCAATTCCCTGTCTCCAGTGCAATGTGTCATGGAGCATTTGAGTCTTGGTACACTTCTGGTGATGGGAGCCTCCTCTGCCCACTTTTGGACCTGAGACACAGGAGTAACTTGCAGCTTCAGATCCACCTATTGTGCTGTGTTTAAACTGTTTCTGTCTTGATTTGTCATAGCTTTGTCATGTTAATTTCCTCTTATTTTGTCTGTCACTGCTTTGCATTTGGTTCAAGGGGAAACTCAAAAAGTAAACTTGGAACATGATCTTGATTGGAAATACCCTAAGAATCATGTCAGAAGTGATAAATTTCAACTGTGGTTGAAGTGTTAAAGTGTATACAGTGGATCTTAATTGCATGTTGCATGTACATACACGTTTATGTGTCAAGAGAGTAAAAGTAATGTGGGCATACATGTGTGAATGTTGTAAGGATGTTAGATAAAGTGGGTTTCAGGGGAGGGCAAGAAGGAAGGAACAAATGTGCAGTTTGTATGTTGAGTATCACCCCCAAGCTCAAGTTTGTTTTCCTGTGATAATGAAGGAGAATCAAAGGAGATAGGAAAATAGGATGCTTTCCTTTGAGTCTGGTGAGCTGTACTTCTGGCTATTTACTAGCGTTTATTTCTCCATTATTCTTGACTTGCAAAATCTCCTTTGGAATATGGTTTTACTATCTCTCTCTCTGAGCTCATACAGTAAGGCAAGTTCAGAGCCAAGTGGTGAAGGAAGCTGGTGTATAGGGATTTCCTATTTAGGCAGTGTAGTAGAAGTCAGTCTTGAATGAAAGCAGACTTCCAGAAGCAGCAGTGGTGTGAGACTGGACACTTCCGTATGCGGATGGCTTGGCGTGAGAGTAAAAGAGGTCGAAGAAACATACAGTTGAACTGAAAAGTGGTAACTTGTTGGAAGAAAGACCAATGAATTGAATCTTAATTGTGATTTTAAGAGATTACTAGGGTCCAAGGCTGGAACAAACTAAAACTTGATGATGATTAATATCATTTTTTGCTTGATGACAATCTGTGGGAAGTTTTATCTGCTTGTTGAAATTATAGTAAATTTTCATAATTTAGCTAAGGTCTTTGTTTTTAAGTACTATATATTTGGGTATATTCTCCTTACAGGGTTGAGGGGGAGGGTTTTCAGTCTAAATTAGAATTACTGTTCTTACTCATGGAAGTAGTCTCATGTAGATCTGTCTGTGTAGCATTTGAAATGACTAGCTCTTGGTATGTATATGTATTTTTTTGGTCAGTATATTCTACCATTAAACTTGCTTTAGAAATCCATTTAGCTTTGATTAAGTTCTTTTTTTTTTTGTTTTGTTTTTTTGTTTTGTTTTTTTTTTGACAGGCAGAGTGGACGGTGAGACAGAGAGACAGAGAGAAAGGTCTTCCTTTGCCGTTGGTTCACCCTCCAATGGCCACTGCGGCCAGTGCACCGCGCTGATCCGATGGCAGAAGCCAGGTGCTTCTCCTGGTCTCCCATGGGGTGCAGGGCCCAAGCACCTGGGCCATCCTCCATCGCACTCCCGGGCCACAGCAGAGAGCTGGCCTGGAAGAGGAGCAACCGGGACAGAATCCGGCGCCCCGACCGGGACTAGAACTTGGTGTGCCGGCGCCGCAAGGCGGAGGATTAGCCTAGTGAGCTGTGTTGCCGGCCTTGATTAAGTTTTTTTTTTTTTTTTAATTATTTTTTCGACAGGCAGAGTGGACAGTGAGAGAGAGAGACAGAGAGAAAGGTCTTCCTTTGCCGTTGGTTCACCCTCCAATGGCCACCGCAGCCCGCGCGCTGCGGCCGGCGCACTGCGCTGATCCAAAGGCAGGAGCCAGGTGCTTCTCCTGGTCTCCCATGGGGTACAGGGTCCAAGGACTTGGGCCATCCTCCACTGCACTCCCTGGCCACAGCAGAGAGCTGGCCTGGAAGAGGGGCAACCGGGACAGAATCCGGCGCCCCAACCGGGACTAGAACCCGGTGTGCCGGCGTCGCTAGGTGGAGGATTAGCCTGTTGAGCCGCGGCGCTGGCCGATGAAGTTCTTAAATACAAAAGAGCAAGAGTTCTTTTTAAAGGAGGTTATAAAAACATTTTACTTAAGGATCTTGACCTAGAACTCCATGCTCCAGGACACGGGGTGGGGCACGGGCCTTTTTTGGCTTTCCCTCCTCTGCTGGTGGGAGTTGTTGTCCGCAGGTCTTGCTCTGTGTCATTAGACTTAGAGGAGTATAGGTTGTAGGAGCCCACGTTCTTTAGAATTTTCAGATGCTCCTAAAGCTATGCTTCTCTAGTCACAGAAAGATAAATGCTGCTTCTCACTAATGGGGAAGCTAAAAAATTTGATTTCACAGGATTGGAGGGTAGAATTCTGCTAACTAGAGGCTGGGAAGGTAGAAGACGGAGGTTGGACAGTGACTACTAATGTACAGTTAGATTGGGGAGTACGTTCTAGTGTTATGTAGCACAGTAGACTGACTAGTTCACAACAAATTATTATGTATTTTATAAAGAACCCGAAGGCATTTAGAAGGTTCCTAACCAAAGAAATGGTAAATGTTTTAAGATGGAAATGTTAATTACCCTGACTTGATCATTTCATATGGTATGCATATATTGTATTGAATTAGTACAATACTTACATATTGTATAGTTCTTCTGTGTCAGTTAAAAAACAGATAATGAGCTATGGTATCCGATCCCCAAACTCTCCTTCTGCTTTCCCTATTCGTTTCTCTTAGGGTGAGACAGGAAGAGATTTCCTGTCCCTGTGACCTTGCCTAGGACTTGGGAGATATATTTTCACTTTGTCAAAATTTTGCTACTTGGTTTTATTCATAGAGATGATGTTAGAAAAGGTGGGTAGTACTATAATTGTTATATTTTTAAGTTAAGTGACCTTTACAGACCAGCATAGGAACTATTAAGACATTTTATAATATTTTATTGGAAAGCAACTGATTTGCAAGTGAACTTTGATGCAGCATGATGGTAAGTTGCTATTTACAGTTTTATTTAAAACTATGATTTTGCAAATTATTAAAAATAAAAAGTGTTAAAGATAGATCTTTTAGCCAGATTAGATCTATTTTTGATTAATTCTTAATCAGACAGCTAGTGAGTGCATAAGACAGAGATGAGGAAATATTTAATGTCAAAATTCAGTAAGCACTCTTGGGCAGTGACTTTTTGCGTTCAAGAGCTGCAGGGTAAGGTGGTAAGCCAAAGGATCAGTACTTTTTATTTTATTTATAATGGCTGTGCTTAATTTATTTAAAAAATTCTTTGCTTACTTAAGGTTGAAAAATACTTAAGGAAAACAAAATATTATATTTTTAGCAAGGTTCTAGTTAGAACAGAAATCTTTTTTTTTTTTTTTTAGAATTCTTTTTTTTTTTTTTTTAACTTTTATTTAATGAATATACGTTTCCAAAGTACGAATAATGGATTACTATGGCTTCCCCCCCTAGAACAGAAATCTTATACTAACATTTCTTCTTAAGTACATAGAAGCAAAGGCTCTTTTCAAAGCTTGACTTCATTCAGTCTGACCCAGACCTGGCCATTGTGGCCATCTAGTGATTGAACCAGTGGACGGAAGATGTCTTTGTCTCTCAGTAACTTGAGACTTTCAAAATAAATCCAATCCTTTTTTTTTTTTTTAAAGATTACCCCTTGTAATATCTGTAAGTAGACTAAAAATGTTTTCTTGTAGTTTACTATATCACCAGCTACTTGACCTTTGTGCCTGAGATTCTTAGTAACAAAGAGTTCACCAGGTATGAATTATCTTCTTGCATGAAACAGGTGGTATGAAGACGTGTGTGTGTGTTTAAAGATTTATATTTATTTTGAAAGAGGAAGACAGGGAGGGGTCTTCCATCCACTGATTGACTCCCTAGATGGCTGGAGTGGCCAGCTCGGGGACAGGCCAAGAGCATGGAGCTTCCTCGAGATCTCCCATGTGGGTAGTAGGGGTGCAGGCACTTGGGCCATCTTCCACTGTTTTTCTTTCTCTTCTCTTCTCTTCTCTTTTCCTTTTCCTTTTCTCCTTCCTTCCTTCCTTCCTTCTTTCTTTCTTTCTTTCTTTCTTTCTTTCTTTCTTTCTTTCTTTCTTTCTTTCTTTCTTTCTTTCTTTCTTTCTTTCTTTCTTTCTTTCTTTCTTTCTTTCTTTCTTTCTTTCTTTCTTTCTTTCTTTCTTTCTTTCTTTCTTTCAGGCAGAGTTAGAGAGAGAGATACAGAGAGAGTTTTAGACAGAGAGAGACAGAGAGAAAGGTCCTCCCTCCGCTGGTTTCCTCCCCTGATGGCTGCCACGGCTGCCGCTGCGCTGATCCGAAGCCAGGAGCCAGGTGCCCCCTCTTGGTCTCCCATGCGGGTGCAGGGACCCAAGCACCTGGGCCATCCTCCGCTGCCCTCCCGGGCCACAGCAGAGAGCTGGCCTGGAAGAGGAGCAACTGGGACTAGAACCCGGGGTGCTGGTGCTGCAGGTGGAGGATTAGCTTAGTGAGCCACGGCGCCAGCCGAAGTGTGTTATTTTTAAAGCCATATACCAGATCAGTAGTTCAGCTAAAAATTAGCTGTTGGAAAACAAAGTTTGATTAACTGAAAAATGTGTCTAAAATAAAATTTCATCATTGAAGAATAAAGATAATTTTGGTCTTCTACCACGAGCAGTCATTTATATTATTTTATAGATTTTTCTAATATTAAATATTAAGAGGAGTTTTAGATACATAAAACATACTTGTGGCAGTTCATTACCTCTTTTTTTTTTTTTTTTTTTTAAGATTTTTATTCATTTATCTGAGAGGTAGAGTTACAGGCAGTGAGAGGGAGAGACAGAGAGAAAGGTCTTCCATCTGCTGGTCCACTCTCCAAATGGCCGCAACGGCCAGAGCTGTGCCGATCTGAAGCCAGGAAGGATCCAGGAGCCTGCTCCCGTATCCCACACGAGTGCAGGGGCCCAAGGACTTGGGCCATCTTCCACTGCTTTCCCAGGCCACAGCAGAGAACTGGATAGGAAGAGGAACAGCCAGGACTAGAACTGGCGCCCATATGGGGTGCCAGCACCACAGGTGGAGGATTAACCTTACTGCGCCGGCCCCAGTTCATTACCTCTTTGGAATAAATAAAAATACAAAGTTGGTTAATTTTAAATGATGATGATAATGAGAGTGAAGAATTAATAAAATTTACTTTGTGTCAGAGAATGCTTGGCAGCTTCACATACATCGTCTGATTTAATCCTTATGACAGTATTAGGGAGAGGTAGGTTTGCGATTTTTTTTTTTTTTAAGATTTATTTATTTATTTGAAAGTTTTACACAGAGAAGGAGAAGCTGAGAGAGGGAGAGAGAGAAGAGAGATGGAGGGAGGGAGAGGTCTTCCATCTTCTGGTTCATTCCCCAATTGGCCTAAGCAGCTAGATCTGCGCCGATCCCAAGCCAGGAGCCAGGAGCTTCTTCCAGGTCTCCCACGTGCGTGCAGGGGTCCAAGGACTTGGGCCATCTTCTGCTGCTTTCCCAGGCCACAGCAGAGAGCTGGATCAGAAGTGGAGCAGCCAGGACTCGAACCAGCGCCCATAAGGGATGCTGGCACTGCAGGAGGTGGCTTTACCTGCTGTGCCACAGCACCACCCCACAAATTTTATTTTATATTTATTCTTTTTTCCTTAAGATTTATTTATTTGAAAGGCGGAGCTACAGCGAGGGAGGAAGAGAGCGGAATCTTCCATTTGCTGCTTCTCTCCCCAAATGGCCGCAATGGCCAGGGCTAGACCAGGCCAAAGCCAGGAGCTTCTTCTGGGTCTCCCACATGGGTGGCAGGAATCCAAGCACTTGGGCCACGCGCTGCTGCTTTCCCAGGCCGTTAGCAGGGAGCTAGATTGGAAGTGGAGCAGCTGGGACTCTAACCACTGCCCATTTGTGATGCTACATTGTGAGCAGCAGCTTAACTTTATACACACCACAATGCTGGCTGCATGTTTTGTTCTGTTTTAATAAGTAGTGCATAAGATACTTCATTATAAAGAGGATAACATTACCAAAGCAAATATTTCAGAGGGCGAGGGGGCTCAGTCAAAATTGTATTAATTACTTTTCCTGCAAGAGTTCTAGTAATGACTTTTTTTTTTTTTTTTTTTTTTTTTTTTTTTTTAAGATTTAAAAGGCAGAGAAACAGAGAAGGAGAGGCAGAGAGAGAAAGAGAGAGAATTTTGGTTCCATCCTCTGATTCATTCCCAAATGCCCTCAATGGCTAGGGCTTGGCCAGGCCAAAGCCAGGAACCAGGAGATCCGTGTGGGTGCCACGTGGATGGTAGGGGCTCAGGCGCTTGGGCTGCTCTCCCAGGCACGTTACTAGGAAGTTGGATGGGAAGCAGAGCAGTCGAGGGACTCCAGCCTGCACTCCAGTGTGGAGTGCCAGCATTGCGAGGCAGCTTAACATGCTGTGCTGTAATGCTAATTCTGATAAAGATTTCTTTCTTTCTTCTTCTTCTTCTTTTTTTTTTTGACAGGCAGAGTGGATAGTGAGAGAGAGAGACATAGAGAAAGGTCTTCCTTTGCCGTTGGTTCACCCTCCAATGGCTGCCACGGCTGGCGCGCTGCGGCTGGCGCATCCTGCTGATCCAAAGGCAGGAGCCAGGTGCTTCTCCTGGTCTCCCATGGGGTGCAGGGCCCAAGCACTTGGGCCATCCTCCACTGCACTCCCTGGCCACAGCAGAGAGCTGGCCTGGAAGAGGGGCAACTGGGACAGAACCCGGCGCCCCGACCGGGACTAGAACTCGGTGTGCCGGCGCCGCAGGCGGAGGATTAGCCTAGTGAGCTGCGGCGCCGGCTCTAATAAAGGTTTAATAGCTGTGTTTGTAGGTACAGCTACAATGTCAGATTGCAACCTAATCTTTGATTTTATGTTGTTTTAACTCATAAGTAATGATATTTATTTTCCTATGGAGCTAGCACTGTCATTATACTGTGCTTATATGTATTTAATATATTTGTAAGGACAGATTAACACAACCATTTATAGAAAGTATTGAATCATAAAACTAAGCTGAATTATAGCCAAATGACTTGTGAGTCAAGAGTTAAAGACAATTTATGGTATGAAAACTTGGACTGTGGGGGAAACCTTCTGTACTAATTTGAAGCATTTCATTAATTGCAGCAAATAAAGCCACACCTGAAATAATGTAGGTCTGGTGTAGAAGGTAGCTTTTAAATCCTATTTGTATTTTCTGCCTTCTAGATAGAGAAACATCTGGTAATATTCCCAATAAACTTGTTTCTGGTCATTTAAAGCACAAATGGGAAATTTATAGAAGTTGATAAATACTGTTGGGGTAGATTTTTAAATTTTTGTATTTGAAAGACATCTTCAATTTTAAAAAATTAAAAAATTTTAAGATTAGGTCTTGATATTCTAACAATTTTTTTTCCTTTAGGAGTAGATCCCATAATAGATCACGTTCACGACAGAAAGACAGACGCAGATCTAAGAGCCCACATAAAAAACGTTCCAAATCAAGAGAGCGACGGAAATCAAGGAGTCGTTCACGTTCACGGTGAGTTTTCGGGGAAATTAAGAAAAACATTTTGATTGGCTTCATTTGTTAAAAATCTGTTGTGGCTTAGGTTTTAAATGAGAGAAATAAAACTTTTTTTCTGATTGTTTTAATAATCTAGGATTAATATTGGTTGCCATTGATTTGAATCTGATGGTCAGTATGACTCATGAGGTTTCCAAACTTCTCCACTCAGCCTGGTAATTGCTTCATTTAGCAGCTTTGTGTACACCTGAGTTGTATAGAAATCTGTATGTTATGTTTATAGCCATTATAAATGACTTAGTGTTGATATTGTTAAGGAAAGAGAGGGAGGTCCTGCTTGGGTGGGGAAGAATTGCTTTAGTTATCAATCAATTAATTAATTAATTAATTTTTCTTTGTTTTTAAAGGGACAAGAGAAAAGATACGCGAGAAAAGATCAAGGAAAAGGAAAGAGTGAAAGAGAAAGATAGAGAAAAGGAAAGGGAAAAAGAGAGAGAGAGGGAGAAGGAACGTGAAAAAGAAAAGGAGCGGGGTAAAGACAAAGAGAAAGACCGGGACAAGGACCGGGACAAAGACAAGGAAAAGGACAGAGAGAGAGAGCGGGACAGAGAGAAGGAAAAAGAACAGGACAAAGACAAGGAACGAGAAAAGGACAGATCCAAAGAGATAGATGAAAAAAGAAAGAAGGATAAAAAATCCAGAACGCCACCCAGAAGTTACAATGCATCAAGAAGATCTCGTAGTTCCAGCAGGTTTGATAATGCTTAAAATGTGTACCAAGGGGTTTACTTATGACCAGTGAAAACATGCATTTTTAACTGAGAGGGGATAAGGTGGTTCTATGCAAGTAAAACCTGTACAGTCACATGAGAACATTTTCCCCTGATTGCAGACTAGAATATTTCTCTAGCATAGGGATTACCCCAGTATTGAACGTGTGAAGAGGACGAGATAATAGTGGGCAAAGGTGTTTGAAAAGTTTAGCTGTCCTTTGTTGTTTTAATCTTTTCATTCTTGTTGTGATTTTCTTGGAAGGTGGGAAGGTAAGGGAAGATAATATTTTTTAAAAATATAGAATTTGATCTCAAGTTTCTTTCTTTCTTTCTTTGGAATGGTGTAATATTATTATGCCAAATGATTTCTAATGTTGTAGTGTTTGTCCTTATTGTCATCTAGGTTATTTACTTTTCTGAGAGGAAGAGAGAGAAAGAGAGCTCCCATCTGGTGTTTCACTCTGCAAATGCCCAAAATGGTTGAGGCTGGGACACAGTCCAAAGACGCAGGCTGGGAAATGCAACCCAGGTCTCCCATGTGGATGGCAGGGACCCAGCTGCTCAAATCATCCTGCAGGAAGCAGGAGTGAGGAGTTGGAGCCAGAAATGAAACCTAGACACTGTGATGTGTTGGTGTCAGAGCCACTAGTTTAAATGCCCTCTCTCGTCTAGGTTAATTTTTATCTCTCCATTTTGTTGAGTGCATGATATTTAAATGTGGATTCTCTTTTATTTGTAAATTTTAAAGGTTACATTTTTTATCCCCTCTGGACTAGTCTCAATTTATTATTAATAGGTACACTGCCACCAGATGGCAGCAGGTTGCCATAGTAACATTTGCAAAATGAGAACTCTCCATGAAGTTTACAGTTACCTAAACCCACATCCCCTAGTCTAGATGATACTATAACTACAAATAAATGTGGTTCCTAACTTGTGATAAACTGTCTCTTAAAAATAAATATGTAAGTTTAAAAATTATTTTAAAGGTGTTTTTTTATAGAAAGCTAGTTGAGAGAAATGGACATGTGTTTTCTCTCTTTTTAAAAAAAGGATTATGGGCTGGCACTATGACATGATAGGTTAAGTCTGCCTGCGGCATCAGCATCCCATATGGGATGCTGTCCTCACTGCTCCTCTTTTGATCCAGCTCGCTGCTGTGCCTAGGAAAGCAGTAGAACCAGTTCCGGCTGTTGCAGCATTTGGGGAGTGAACCAGTGGATAGATGACCTCTCTGTCTTTACCTCTCTCTGTAACTCTGCTTCTCAAATAAGTAAATAAATATTTAAAAAATCAGATTTATTTATTTTGAGAATCAGAGTAACAGAGAAGGAGAGACAGAGATCTACCATCCACTGGTTTGCTCCACAGATGGCTTCAAATGGCCAACCCTGGGCTAGGCTAAAGCCAGGAGCTTCATCAGGGTCTTCCAAAGTGTCAGAAGCCCAAATACTTGGGCTGTCTTCAGCTTTTCCCAGGCAATTAGCAGGGAGCTGGATTGGAAGTGGAACAGCTAGGACATGAACTGGCACTTGTGCGGGGTGCAGATGTCGCAGGCAGTGGCATTACCTGCTACTCCAAGATGCTGGCCCTGTTTCTCATCTTTAAAATTGGTGCTTTAATAGCTTATTTTTAACACGAGCTGTTGACTGGTATTATCGTTTTCCAGATATTATATATCAGTATATTTTCATGCTTCACCTTATTTAATCCACAAAGTATGCCCATATGAAGACTGTTATAACTGTTCCAAAACATGAGGAAACTAAAGCTTAGAGGAAATTTTTCATGTGGTCTGCATCTTACTTTAATTAGAAAATTAATTTATTTGAGCAGTGGAGGTGGGGGAGAGGGAAAAGAAGCATTCACATCTGCTGGTTCACTCCCCAAATACCAGCAGGGGCCAGGATGAGAGCCTGGAACTCAGTCCAGGTCTCCTGTAGGGTGGCAGGAACCCAACTTGAGCAGTTATTGCTGTCTCCCAGGGTCTGCATTAGCAGGAGGCAGGAGTGACGAGCTGGAGCCAGGTGTTGAACCTAGCTTCTGTGATGTGGGATGTGGACCTCTCATCGGTGTCTAATAAGCTGGGAAAAGTCTGCCCCTGGACTGTACTGAGTATCAGAAGTTCAGTAGCTCTATTTTTTCTTTTTCTTCTATTAAAGGTTTATTTATTTCAAAGGCGAGAGTGACAAGAGATAGCTGGAGACCTTTCTTCTGCTCGTTCATTGCCCAAATGTTTGCAATAGCTGAGACTGGGTCAGGCTGAAGCCAAGAGCTATGAACTCTGAGACTCCTGTGTGGGTGGCAAGGGCCCACGTACTTGGGCCATCACATCATTTACTGCTGCCTGGATGCGTTAGTAGGAAACTGAATCAGAAGTGGAGTAGCTAGGATTCAACCCCAGTCACTCTGATAGGGGATGTCAGCATATCAAGTAGCTGCTTCACCCACTGCACCACAACGTCTATCCTTTTCCTTTTAGAGATTTGGTTTAAAACTTTCTCACCAGTTTTTGGAACCTTTTCATTTTATTTATTTTTTTCTTTGGTGATACAGTCTGACTGTATTGCTTTGGGGCAAGGAGGCTCAGGGGCTCCAGCTAGGGCGGGTGTGCTTCCTTCTCACCATCACTGGCTTCTGGCTACATAGGAAGGCACTGGCTCTGCTGATGGCAGCCATGTGCAGATCAGGGTGGTGTTTGTTCTTGCAAATCGTGTGCCGAATGCTGCTGAGGGTGGCCCGCACATTCTTGTTGATGGTATTTCAACGTACGAGGTGCTGGTTTTCGCTGACCAGATCTCTGCTCCATGACCACCATGACACCCTTGCTGTCAGCCGCCGGCTCCATGCCCATGGTCTTCCAGTGGATGTGGTCTGCATCTTACTTTAATTAGAAAATTAATTTATTTGAGCAGTGGAGGTGGGGCAGAGGGAAAAAAGTAGCAGAACGAGTTGTGGGCCTTCAGGTTTTCGGGTTCGATGCTGTGTTCTGCTTCTTCCTCTTGGAGGGAACATGGAGCAGTCGCACACAATCATCCACTGCAGGTGCGTGGACAGGACGGCAGCAGCGACGCCTCACACTGTGGTTGCCAGAGACAGAAAGTGCGAAACCTACTTCTAAAAATTGCCTCGGACACAGGCGTGGTGGTTACAGTACTATACCGAAGTACCTGAGTTTGATTTCAAACTGAGGCTCCTGATTTGTAGTGTCTTGTTAATGCCTACTCTGGGAGGTAGGAGGTGATAGCTCAAGTAATGGAGTTCCTGCCGTCAACATGGGATACCAAGACTGATTTTCTGGCCATGGCTGCTCAGTTCCAGCCTTTGTGGGTGTTTCGGGAGTTAGATAGGAAATAGTGCATGTCTCCTTTCCGTCTGTGTATCTCTCGCTCTGCCTTTCAAATAAGAAAAAAAACAAAACAAAACAACACAAAACAACAAACTGCCTCAGAAGTATAAAGTTGACAGCAGCCTTATATTCATATGTTAAAATGGGGTTCAAAATAGATTACTGCCAGATTTCTGCACATTGAACCACAACTTGTGGTTATCAGTTGAGCCTTGTGACTACTTTTCGCTGCAGAGTGATTTTATTGATTGTGTCGTATATGCCTTTGTGTTTTTGCGATGACTTAGACATTAACCTTCCCAGCACCAAATGTTTTAATTTTTAATACCTTCAACTTAATTTTCTGATTACTTTGTCATGTTTAATTTTTTCTGGGTCATTTTAAGTCACTTGATCTTTAAGAAAGTGTAGATGCTCATGTATAGTCCCTAGGGCTGAGTGAATAAAAGTTAACACATTAATTCATAAGAGTTGAGCAATTTTGAAATCTTCATGCTTTCAGAAGAGATTGGTAAAGAGTTAAGAGGTTTCATCTTTTAGCAGTTTTCTGCTTTTCAGATGCTCTGAGTTTTGTTTATTAAATAGGAAACATTTTAACTCCTGAGAAAAATAGTCTGCTTAATATTTTCATTTCCAACATTATATCCCAATCTATATTTTTTAATAAAATTTTGATACTTGAAAAAAATTTCTGATGTTAGAATAAATTTTTTTTTTTTTTTGACAGGCAGAGTGGAGAGAGAGAGAGAGAGAGAGAGAAAGGTCTTTCTTTTGCCGTTGGTTCACCCTCCAATGGCTGCCACGGCTGGTGCACTGTGGCCAGAGCACCGCGCTGATCCGATGGCAGGAGCCAGGTGCTTCTCCTGGTCTCCCATGGGGTGCAGGGCCCAAGCACCTGGGCCATCCTCCACTGCACTCCCGGGCCACAGCAGAGAGCTGGCCTGGAAGAGGGGCAACTGGGAAAGAATCTGGCGCCCCAACCGGGACTAGAACCTGGGGTGCCGGCGCCGCAGGTGGAGGATTAGCCTAGTGAGCCGCGGCGCCGGCCAAGAATAAATGTTAATGTCAATGAAAGTAAGACCAAGAAAGGGAAAGAGAAGATAACTGAGCAGCTACTGCATACCATGCTGTCTGCGTGACAGCACTTTACAGGTATCCTAGCAAGCCTGTTGTGCTAGAGTTATGCCCATCTCTCAGGTTAAACACTCCAATGGGGTATCTAGTAAGATAAGGCATTAAAATTTAAATCTAAGTCTAATCAATGCCACTTGTTTATATATTAACTCACAGCATTATTCTCTGACAGTCAAGATTACTGTGTATCCAAAGTTAACTCATTATTATCAGCTTAGTCATTGTAACTGTACATCCACCTATACATACAAGGAAAAAACTATACTGATTTAGACAAAACCATTTTGTGCAAAATTAAAGTCTATAATATACTGATATTCTCATGCTATGAATAAAGTAATTTAGGTTATTATGCTGAACTGTTACAGAATGTCATTGATTGAATGAAATATCTTTATCTAATTTCCCTAGCAGGAAACACTATTTTGGGGTATCTTAAATAAAATTTGATAATGAAGAAGAGAGAGCATTAGTAGTTTGAATTGATTTGTGTTCTCAAACTTCTACCACATGTATCACATATGAGCATTGTTTAGACTTTGTTTGTGAATGAGAAACTTAGAAAAATGCTTTTACTAGTGTAGAATCAATTTATTGAGGCCAGTAGGAAGAGCTTGAATTCCAGATTTCTTTCTTTCAGGTATGTGGTCACTGAATACCAGAGCTTCTTGTGAGATATCATTAGATTGATTGGTCATTAAGTAAATATACCCTCATGCCTCATCTCCTGAATTATGGAAACCATTAAGTTCTTTATTTCTAAGTTAATCATCCTTATAAATGAAATCATTTGCTAATGTGTTAAGCGAAACAGTTTGTTTAAAAAAAAGATGTATTTATTTGAAAGGCAGAGTGATAGAGACAGAGATCTTCCATCTACTGGTTCATTCCCCAAATGGCCACCACAGCCAGATCTGGCCCAGGCTGAAGCAAGGAGCCAGGAACTTCATCCTGGTCTCTCACATGGGTAGTAGGGACACATGTGCTTGGGCCATCTTCCAGTGCCTTCTGAGGGGCATTAGTGGGGAGCTGGATTGGAACAGAGTGGATTTAAACTGGCATGCTGATACGGGATGGCAGCTTTGCAAGCAGCAGCTTAATTCAGCACTGGCTCCTGAGCTAAATAGTGTGTTAATAGTAAACAGTTATTCTGTTTCTTACTTTGTTGGATTAAAGTTCCAAATTTTAACAGTTTTACTTGTTTCTAAGTAACTAGTGCATGCAATACTAATTTTTATCATTTAAAAATTTTATTTTTATCGTATTTGAAGCGGGCGCTGGGTGAGAGTGAGACAGACAGATGAAGACAGATCTTTCCTTCACTCCCCAAATGCCTACAACAGCCAAAATTGTGCCAAGCTGTAGCCAGGAGCCTGGAACTCAACCTGGGTCTCCCACGTCGGGAGAGGGGTCCTAGTGTTGAGCTCTCACCTGCTGCTTTCCAGGGGTACACATTAGCAGGAAGCTGGGTTGGAAGCTGGGAAGCCAAAGCTGGAACCAGGCACTCTTAGTACAATTGTTGGTGTTGTCCCAAGTGGTGATTGAACCACTGTGCACACACCTGCCTCTGTATGTGTCTTTCTATGTATATATTTGAGAGGTAGAGATGATTCACTTTCCAGATATGTGCAATAGACAAGGGTGGGCCAGGCAACAAGCCAGGTCTTCCACTTGGGTGGCAGGGACCCAACTACTTGAGCCATCACTGTTGCCTCCCAGCGTGTGCATTAGGAAGAAGCCAGAATTGGGAGTGGAACTGGGACTTGAGCAGCCTTCCTGGCAATCATCTTTAGCTACCAGGACAAATGCCCATCCCTTCAATTTTAAATTAAAAGCAATAATAAAGTGGTAGGAGGTTAGAGGGCAAAGCAGCGTTCTGTAAAATTATGTTAACGTAAGTACTCATTTTAAATATTTGGGTCTGGTTCACCTCTTGAAAGGGTATCTGAGTTCTTGGAATGGGTCTGTTAGAGAATAATCTTCAATGAAATGGCAAGGAGCTAGATGCATGTTAAAGGTTCTGATAGACGAAAGATGTTTTAAATATGGAGAGTAGTTTTAACTTGAGAATCTGAAATATCATTAATATAGTTTCTGTACTCAAGAAATCATTTAGGGACTGGTAATATGATGCAGTGAGTAAAGCCAGCACCTACAGTGCCCACATCTCATATGGTTTGAGTCCCAGGTGTTCCCCTTCTAATCCTGCTCCCTGCTAATGTGCCAGGGAAGGAGCAGGAGGTGGCCCAAGTCTTTGAGCCCCTGCACTGGTGTGGGAGAGCAGAAGAAGCCCTGTCTCCTGGCTTTGGATCCTCCCAGCTCCAGCTGTTGCAGGCATTTGGGGAGTGAACCAATGGATGGAAATCTCTTTCTCTAACTCTGCCTTTCAAATAAATTAATTAATTAAAAAAAATATTTAAATAGGTGAAAAAAGGAGGACCTCTGCCCTTTCTCATGTGAAATCTTAGATAATGTTTTGATCAGTCTGTAAAATTTAAGGTTCATTGTTAGACCCGTATTCTAAAATTAGGAAATAGAATGGAATCTTAAAGGTTATGGGTTTCAGCTGGCCTCTGAGGAATACTGTGCACTTAGGTGTATCAAGGAACTTTTCAATTTTTATATATTTGAATTGACCTTTAATATTGATTGCTGTTTTTTAAAACGATGTATTTTTGGCTTTTAGGGAAAGGCGTAGGAGGAGGAGTAGGAGTTCTTCTAGATCCCCAAGAACATCAAAAACCATAAAAAGGAAGTCTTCCAGGTCTCCCTCCCCAAGAGGGTAAGTTTAAACCAGTTGCTAACACTACACAGGAGGAAGCAGGAAATAGTTTAACAAATTCTCCTCAGCCTGCTTTAGAACTGTATATATTTGAGTGAATAATGTACTTGCATCATTCAGAAAGTTTGAGGTGTTCTAGAAGTCTGGGCTTCAATTTATGTGCGCATTACCTTGTTCCTGTTTGTAATAACTTCATTAATTTTTTTGTATATCCTTCCAGTTTGGTGTAGAAGATGAGAATGTGTCATCTTTTTCCTGGTTGTATGAAAAGTAGTACAAACTACACTTTTATGCACTTGCCAGTTTTTATTTATTTGTTTATTCATTTTTAAGATTTATTTATATATTTGAAAGGCACAGCAACAGAGAGAGATTGAAAGATAACTTCCAGGGCCAGTGCCCTGACATAGTAGGTTAAGCCTCCACCTGTTAATGCCTGCATCCCATACGGGCACCAGTTTGAGTCCTGGCTGCTCTGCTTCTGATCCAGCTCCCTGCTGATGGCCTGGGAAAGCAGTGGAAGATGGTCCAAGTGCATGGGCCCCTGCACCTACATGACAGCGGAAGACAGCTCAAGTGCTTGGGCCCCTGTATCCTTGGGAGAGACCTGGAAGAAGCTCCTGGCTCCTGATCAGCCCACCTCTGGCCATTGCGGCCATTTGAGGAGCTGATGGAAGACTTCTCTGTGTCTCCCTCTGTAACTCTGCCTCTCAAATCTTTTTTTTTTTTTTTTTTTTAAAGGACATCTTCTGTCTGCCTGTTCAGTCTTCAAATACTCTCAAAAACTAGGGCTGTGCCAGGCTAAAACCAGAAGCCGGGAATTCCGATTGAGTTTCCCATGTGGGTGGCAGGAACCCAAGTACTTGCCTCTCAAGCACATCAGCAGGAAGCTGGACCAGAAGCGTGGAGTATCTGGGGTTTGAACAAGGCATTAATCAGCCTGCAGTAGAAAGAGTTTTCAGAATTTTCCTGTTTGAAAGTTTGTGATACTTAATATGTAACTTAGAGCATGCAGGAAACATTTTCAGCAGTAGTATTGCATTAGAGGATGTTTGTAATTTCTTTTTTAAGATTTATTTGCTTGAAAGAGTTGTAGAAAAAGAGGGAGAGACAGAGGAAGAGATCTTGCAGCTGTTGGCTCATTGTCCAGATGGTTGCACCAGTCAGGACTGGACCAGGCTGAAGCTAGGAGCCAGGAGCTTCTCCAGGTCTTCCATGTGGGTAGCAGGGGCCCAAGGAGTCAGGCCATCTTGCACTGCTTTCTAAGACCATTAGCAGGGAGCTGGATCAGAAATGGAGCAGCCAGGACAGGAACCAGGTCCCATAAGGGATGTTGGCATTGCAGGAGGTGGCTTTACCCACTTTGCTGCAACGCTGGCTCCAGGATGTTTGTAATTTTTGAGGAATATAGTCAGATGAACCTCTGTAAGGGTTGGCAGCAGGTTTTTTTTTTTTTTTTTTTTGACAGGCAGAGTTAGACAGAAAGAGAGAGACAGAGAAAGGTCTTCCTTTTCTGTTGGTTCACCCCCCAAATGGTTGCCACGGCCTGCGCGCTGCGCCGATCTGAAGCCAGGAAATTTACCCTGGTATCCCATGCGGGTGCAGGGCCCAAGCACTTGGGTCATCCTCCATGGCCCTCCCGGGCCACAGCAGAGAGCTGGCCTGGAAGAGGAGCAACCGGGATAGAATCCAGTGCCCCAACCGGGACTAGAACCCGGGGTGCCAGCGCCACAGGTGGAGGATTAGCCAAGTGAGCCGCGGCGCTCGCCTGGCAGCAGTTTCTATTCTATAACCAGCTGAGTAGGATAGTGCTTTTAGTCCCATTGGCACCAGATTATCAGTTACAGCAGTTACAGTTCATCTCATAGAAGAAACTACAACATCATAATCAGAATAATTTAATCATTATATTAATTTTTACTTATATCAATCATATATTATAATTATATTTTAATAATTATTATATCACTTAATATAATTATATTTAATATAAACATTCATATTTATATTTAATATATCTATATATAATACAGATTCACACAACACATATTTATACTTAACATAATTATACTATTTAATATATTTAATATAACTGTCATATTTAATAATAAATATAACATAATCATATAGTGTAATTATGTATTATAATAATTGTATTAATTATTTAATTATTTTAATTTATTATAATCAGACTAATTTAATTTCTGTTAATATGAGTTAAGGTGATCATCTCTTCCTACATCTGAAGGCCATTTGTATTTCCTTCTCTGTGAGTTGTATGTATACATTGTCCATTTTTCTGATGAGCGTTTCTATTTCTGGGGACTTTTTATATTAGATTACTTTTTTTTTTTTTTTAATCGTTTTTCTTACTGGACGCATATTTTTTCGACAGGCAGAGTGGACAGTGAGAGAGAGAGACAGAGAGAGAGAAAGGTCTTCCTTTGCCGTTGGATCACCCTCCAATGGCCGCCGCTGCAGCCGGCGCACCGCGCTGATCCGATGGCAGGAGCCAGGAGCCAGGTGCTTTTCCTGGTCTCCCATGGGGTGCAGGGCCCAAGCACCTGGGCCATCCTCCACTGCACTCCCTGGCCATAGCAGAGAGCTGGCCTGGAAGAGGGGCAACTGGGACAGAATCCGGCGCCCCAACCGGGACTAGAACCCGGTGTGCCGGCGCCGCAAGGTGGAGGATTAGCCTATTGAGCCACGGCGCCGGCTCTAGATTACTTTTTTAAAGATTTATTTTATTTATTTGAAAGAGTTAACAGAGAGAGGTAGAGACAGAGAGAAAGGTCTTCCATCCGCTGGTTCACTCCCCAGATGGCTGCAACAGCTCGAGCTGCGCCTATCCGAAGCCAGGAACCAGGAGCTTCCTCTGGGGCTCCCACGCGGGTGCAGGGGCCCAACAACTTGGGCTGCCTTCTGCTGCTTTCCCACGCCTTAGCAGAGAGCTGGATTGGAAGAGGAGCATCAGGGGTCTGGGACTAGAACCGGTGCCCATATGGGATGCCGGTGCTTCAGGCCAGGGCTTTACCCTGCTGCACTACAGATTATTTAGTGCTGTGATTATAAGTAATCATTCCTAGTTTGTTTCATTTTAGAAATTACTTATGAAACTTAGTTTTACAAAGATTTTGAATTTTTTAATCTTTTGTTTTTGATTTCTTGATTTTTTAAAAAATATTTATTTGAAAGGTCAAGTGACAGAGGAGAAGAGACAGAGATACTCCATCCACTAGTTTACTCCCCAAATGGCCACAATAGCGAGAGCTGGACCAGGATGAAGTCAGGAGCCAGTAGTTCTTCCAGGTCTTCCACATGGGTGGCAGAGGCCCAGTAATTGGGTTGTCTTCCACTGCCTTCACAGGTGCAATAGCAGGACACTGGATCAGAAGGGGAGCAACCAGACCTGGAACTGGCACTCCCACAGGGGATGCTGCTGTTGCAAGCTGTGGCTTAACCGGCTGTGCCACAACCTCAACCTCTGACTTAACAGATTTTGAGTTAACAGATTTTGAGTTATAAAATTAGAAAGGTCCTTTTTATTATGAGGTTATAATGGAACTTCTCCATTGTTTTTTCTTGTACTTTATGATTTTAATTTTTAAAGCTTTGAGTTGTTAAATTTTTCCATAGGTATAGTTTGGTATATGGATACAGTTTTTTTTTTTAATGCTTCCCTGTTTTTTCAGTGCTATTAATTAAAAGCTTAGGTTTCCTAACACTAATTTGATATACTGTCTTTGTCATACATGAATATTTTCTGTATGTGCTTTGATCTGTTTCTCGGTCGTCTGTACTGTAGAATGGGTCTACTGTCCATTTTTGTGCCCATGTCCCACACTTTATAGTCTTGAAATTATATGGTGTTTTTTAGTATCTTTTTGAGATCTCCTGATACCTCTCATTGCTTTTTCTTTGAGCTTTCCTGATTGTTTTGGTGTGTTTTATTTTTTCATTTGGCCATCAATGCCAGTTGTGTATGTTCTTTAAATAAAGTGTGTTGATGGTTTCTGTTACAGCGCATCAAATTCTTAGATCAATTTAGGGAACATTGATAAACAGATTTGTTAATAAATGAATCTTCAAGACGGTGGATCTTTCTGCCTAGGCATGTGGTATATTTTTCATTTTATTCAGGCCATCCTTAGTATTTTTCAGGAATGATTCAGTGCTTGTTTCATACAGGTTATATGTATTTCCTGTTCAAAGTATTTTTCCATTTTTGTTGCTATTGTAAGTGGTCTTTTCCTAATTGGAGGTTTGGTTTGTATATAGGAAGGTTACTATATCATTATTATTTTTATATATGTTAGGAGAGAAGCAGACACACAGAGGAAGCTCCTGTCCTGTCACTCTGAGTATCTACAGTAGTGAGGTCTGGGCCCAGCAGAAGCTGGGAGCTTAGGACCCAATCCTGGGGACCTGTTGCACAGGACTTGAACCAAGGCACTCTGCGGGATGCAAGCATCCCAAGTGAAATCTTAACTTGTAGGGCAAATGCCCATCCCTGATTTCTGTATATTTAGTGTTCAATCCCATTGCCTTGCTTATTGGTCATATAGTTATTTAGCTGATTTTCTAAGTGTAGAAAAGAGAAATGTATAAAAAGCTTCACCACAGTGTAAGCAACATGTTTTCCATCAGAGGGTGCCTTTTGTTTATTTGCTCGCTCCTTCCTTCCTTTCTTCCTTCCTTTCTCTCTCTCTCTCTCTCTCTTTCTTTCTTTAAGATTTCTTTATTTGAAAGAGTTAAACAGAGAGAGGAGAGGCAGAGAGAGAGAGAGATCTTCATCCGCTGGTTCACTCCCCAGTTGGCTGCAACAGCCAGAGCTGTTCTGATACAAAGCCAGGAGCTTCTTTTGGGTCTCTCATGCAGGTGCCTGGGCCCAAGTACTGGACCATCTTCTACTGCTTTTCCCAGGCCATATCAGAGAGCTGAATCAGAAGAGCACTTGGGTCTTGAACCGGCACCCATATGGTATGCCAGCGCTTCAGGCTAGGGCTTTAACTGGCTGCGCCACAGTGCCAGCCCTGGGTTTTTGGTTTTTTTTTTTTGATGAGAATAATGGAAAGTGTAGGATTGTAGAGGTGGGCCTTATTTGTGTTTTTGAAACAAATACTTAGGAAAATTAAATTTTTTTTCATTTGTGATCTCATTAGAAAAAGATATATTCAGAAGGTTTCATTACCTTCTTAATTCCTTTGACCTTGTTTGCCTTCTGTTCGTGATCAGTCATTTATATTTTCCTTCCTCTGCTTTTTTTTGCAAAATTAAGCGAGTGTCTTTTTAATTTCTCCACAAAGCACAGTATACTTGTGCTTGCATATGTGTGTGTGTATGTATATGTGGTTAGTGACTATGCTTAGCGCCACATAGCTTCCTCAATCTTTTTTTTTTTTTTTTTTGACAGGCAGAGTGGACAGTGAGAGAGAGAGAGACAGAGAGAAAGGTCTTCCTTTGCCGTTGGTTCACCCTCCAATGGCCGCCGCGGCCGGCGCGCTGCGGCCGGCGCACCGCGCTGATCCGATGGCAGGAGCCAGGAGCCAGGTGCTTTTCCTGGTCTCCCATGGGGTGCAGGGCCCAAGCACCTGGGCCATCCTCCACTGCACTCCCTGGCCACAGCAGAGGGCTGGCCTGGAAGAGGGGCAACCGGGACAGAATCCGGAGCCCCTACCGGACTAGACCCGGTGTGCCGCGCCGCTAGGCGGGAGGATTAGCCTAGTGAGCCGCGGCGCCGGCCTCAATCTTGAGATATAATTAACATTTTATAGAATTTACCCTTCAAGATGTGCAAGTCTTTTTTTTTTTTTTTAAGATTTATTTATTTATTTTGAAAGAGTTACAGAAAGACTGAGACAGATCTTCCATCTGCTGGTTCACTCCCCGGCGGCCACAACAGCCAGCCCTGGCGTAGGCTGAAGCTGGGAGCTCCGTTCAGGTCTCTCATGGGTGGCAGGCAACCAAGCACTTGAGCATCATCCACGACTTTTCCCAGGCCATTAGGGAGCTGGAGTGCAAGTGGGGCAGCCCGGATATGAGGTGTTGCAGGCGAAGTCCTTGATTTTAGTTATGTTCATAATGTTTTGAAAATACCAGCAGGGTTTACTTCCTGGACATTTTTCATCACTGTAGAAGAAAGTGTGTACTCCTTAGCAGTATACCCTATATTAGTCTTCTTCCAGCCCCTCCTCTACTGCTGTCTCTGAATTTGCTTATTCTGAATTTTTCCTATAGAGATTTAATATGTGTGATGTTTTATTACTGGCTTCTTTCACTAATCATACTTTTTTTTTTTAAGATTATTTATTTCATTTCAAAGCCAAAGTTATTAAGAGAAAATTCTGTTGGCTTGGTTCAGCCTCCAAATGGCTAAACAGTTGGGGCTGGGCCAGGCTAGAGCCAGGAGCTTCTTCTGGGTCTCCCGTGTAGGTACAGGGGCTCAAGCACTTGGGTCATGCACTGCTTTCCTAGGTGCATTAGCAGGGAGCTGGATCAGAAGTGGAGCAGCTGGGACTTGAACTTGTGCCCATATGGGATACTGGCACTGCAGGTGGTGGCTTTACCTGCTACTCCATAGCTCCAGCCCTGATTTTTTTTTAAAAGGTACACACACAAATAGGTAGCAGCTTTTGTTTTGTCATTTTTCTTGCTAGTGTTGAGTTGGTTTTTTAATTCTTTTTGCTTTTATATAACGGTTTCTGTAGGCAGATGTACTGATCATTTCTTTCTTCTTCTTTTTTTTTTTTTTTTTTTAAGATTTATTTTATTTATTTGAAAGAGTTACAGAGAGAGGTAGAGACAGAGAGAGGTCTTCCATCCACTGGTTCACTCCCCAGATGGCCGCAATGGTTGGAGCTGTGCTGATTTGAAGCCAGCAGCCAGGAGCTTCTTCCAGGTCTCCCACGTGGGTGTAAGGGCCCAAGGACTTGGGCCATTTTCTACTGCTTTCCTGGGCCATAGGAGAGAGCTGGCTTGGAAGTGGGGCAGCTGGGACTAGAACCGACGCCCATAAGGGATGCTGGCGCTTTAAGACAAGGGTTAATCTGTGCACCACAGTGCTGGCCCCTGATCATTTCTTTGAAGTACTTGGAGTTTTAGTAATGATTAGATACAATTGGGGCTGGTGCTGTGGCACAGTAGGCTAGGCCTCTGCCTGCAGCAGCAGCATCCCATCTGTGCACCAGATCCCTGATGCTTCTCTTCTGATCCAGCTCTCTACTATGGCCTGGGAAAGCAGCAGAAGATGGCCCAAGTCCTTGGGCTCCTGCACCTGTGTGGGAGATCTGGAGGAAGCTCCTGGCTCTGGCTTCTGATTGGCTCAGCTCTTCATCCAAGTTATAAAGGAATTTACCCTGATTTTTCTAGTACTGTTTAGTTTCATGTAAAAACCTCTGGTTTCTAGCTCAAAAACACTTACTTTCTGTATGTGGGCCTGAAATAATGAGATGTGGATCCAGTTTTGTCACTTTCCAAGTGCTTATCCAGATGTCCCAAAACCTTGTTAGAAACTGTAGTGATCCGAAATGCTACCTTAATTATACTAAATTTTCTTATATATGTACTTTGGTCTGTTTTCTAGCTGTCTTTTAATTATTCTGATTGCTTTTTGTGTATTTCTAAATTATTCATACTTAATAGAAAAAGTTTAGAATTCTGTGTGAGGGACAGCTATTTTTGATTACTAGTGCATCTAATTATAAGGATTTTTTTTTTTTGGTTGTTGCTCTGTTAGATAAGGATATTTTGTCAAGACTAGTAGATCTTTAATTTCTTAGAAGCTGACAAATTGCCAATATTCTTGTAGCAGAAATAAGAAGGATAAAAAGAGAGAAAAGGAACGGGACCATGGCAGTGAAAGAAGAGAGAGAGAACGCTCAACCTCTATAAAAAAAGGTTCTGAGGACAGAGATGGGAAGGAGAAGGTGGAGAAGAACAGTACTGCACTCAGAGTAAGCGATGTAAGTCATTCAGTTCTGGGCTTTGGATAACTAATGGAGATTGTTCTTTATGGCATGGAGAACATTTAGACTGAACTTCTTGAGAGCAACAGTGTCTTTACATTGCTGGGTTTTAAAAGTACTTGTTAAATTGATAAATCTCATTAAATTTTGAAGATATGAGTGAATTAAAATTTTAAAACCACATTCCTTAGAGAATCAGAATAGTGTGCAATGAGAAAAATTGTAGAAATATGCAAGTAATGAGTGTATTTAATGTTTTTTTTTACAATTTTTAAAATTTATATAAGGTGAACATATATCATATATACAGATTTAGGAGCTTAGTGTTACTTTCCACCCATACTCACACCCTCACTCCTCCTCCTTTCTTATTTCAGTTTTTACATTGACATCCTTTGTTTATTTTATAATCATAAAATTAACACTCCACTATGTAAAGAATTCAACAAATAGAAGAAAAAAAAAACACTGTTCTGCAACAGTAGAGACAAGGGCTGTAACCAGTAATTCTCAAAATGTCAATTGTGGTCATATATATTACATTTTTTTTAAAGATTTACTTATTTGAAAGTCAGAGTTACATGCAGAGAGAGAGAGGTCTTCCATCCATCCGATGGTTCACTCCCCAATGGGCTGCAACAGCCGGAACCGCGCTGATCTGAAGCCAGGAGCTTCTTCCTGGTCTCCCATGTGGGTGCAGGGGCCCAAGGACTTGGGCAATCTCCTGTGGCTTTCCCAGGCCATAGCAGAGAGCTGGATCAGAAGAGGAGCTGCCGGGTCTCCAACTGGCACCCATATGGGATGCCGGCACTTCAGGCCAGGGCGTCAACCCACTGCGCCACAGCACTGTCCCCCATTACATTTTTTTGAACTGTTACAGATTAGGGAAAACAAATGGTATTTATTTTTGGGGGACTGGCTTATTTCAGTATGTGTAATGATTTCTAGTTGTACCATTTTGTTGCAAAAGACAGGATTTCATTCTTTTTTATAGTTGAGTAGTATTCCATGGTGTATATATACTACATTTTCTTTATCCAGTCATTGGTTAATGGATATCCTGGCCAAAGCCAGTAGTAGCCTAGATCTTCTTCCAGGTCTCCCACATGGGTGCATGGGCTCAAGCACTTGGGCCATCTTCGACTGCTTTCCCAGCCACATTAGTAGGGAGCTGGATTGGAAGTGGAGAATCCAGGATTCAAAGTGGCACCCATATGGCATGCCTCTTTTCAGGCATTTCATCAATCTCTTTGTCATACTTCCTTTTTTGAAGTGTTGTTGCATTTCTTTGGGGGAGTCATGTTGTCTTCCATGTTCTTGTTACTTGTATTTCTGCATTTATTTTTAGGCATTTGTGCAAATACTTACTGATTTTCTACACTGATGGGTTTTATCTTAGAACTATGCCTCTGTGGCTTGGTGGAGTCTCTGCTCTTTCAGTGAATACCCAGAGTCCTGTGCTGAGTGGAGCTAGGGAGTTCTGATCAGTGGACAAGGGTGGGGTGAGAATCCAGGGTGACACCTATGTTGGGTGTCGTAGATCTCCTCTGTTGTCAGCAGTGAGGAGGGTATGATCAAGCTTATTGGCATAATCAGATCCTCACCTCCTCTCTTCCAAGTTGCTCAATGCCCAGGGTTAGTCCACAGTGGTACAACCCTCACCTGTGCTGGCATGAACCACATAAAGGATCTGTGCAGTCCTCAGTGTGAGCACAGAACCCTCCACAGTGACCCACCCCAGGCAGCCAGGGAGCTCTGAGCCGCTGATTCTGGACACAGTGATTTTCCAGACCCAGCTATACCCTACGCCCTATCACTCTATTTTTCAGTCTCAGAATTCTGTGTTTAATTTTATACTGGTAAGATTTTTACCTGATGCCATTTTTCTGAATGTTTTTTATTGAATTTAACTTTTGTGTTGTAATTAGTTTTGTAATACATAGTTTAAATTAGATTTGCTGAATTAGAATACTTAAACCAAATTTCACCAAGTAAGCTTCTACTTGGATAAGTATTTTAAGTACTTGATGAATTATGTTAATGCTTTTATTGGCGAAGTATATTTGTATTTGGAAGTCAATTAATTGAGTTCTAGGACTTTCACTCATGGTGCTAGAAGTTTATTATCAATAATGTTGGTCATATTTACTGATAATTTTCTATGTAGCAGACACTGTTCTTATTTCTCTTTAGGCTAAAAGCAAAATTTTTATAATTCTTGAAAGCCTTTTTTTTTTAATTAAAGATTTATTTATTTGAAAGAACAACAGAGAGGGAGAAGCCCAGGTAGTGAAAGAGGAAGAGACAGAGAGACAGAGACACAGATGGCTACAGAGATCTTTCAGCTGCTGATTCACTCCCCAAATGGCTGCAACAGGCGGCTCTGGGGCCAATCCAAAGGCAGGAGTCTAGAACTCCATCTTGGTCTCCCACATGGGTCCCAGGGTTCCAAGTACTTGGGCCATCTTCTGCCTTCCCAGGTGCATTAGCAGGTATATCAGAAGTGGAGTAACTGGGACTTGAACTGGCACTCCAAGATGGGATGCCAGTGTTGCAAGTGACGGCTTAACCTGCCGAGCAAGTGCTGGCTCCTCGTTTCCTTGGTTTTGCTTTTTTGGTATCCTTATTACAAACCTATCCTGACATCTTTTGGAAATATTTCACTCTTCTAATCTGTCCCATTCTTTCAACTCTGTCAGATTTATTTTGTGCTTCTAAACAACTTTTGGTTCACTCATTTTATTCTCATTTAATTTTATGAGAAGTACAAAGGACAAATTTACAGGCACTTTTTTGGTTTTTTATATGAAAACAATGGGAAAAAATATTTAGTGTTATTTCACAGAAGATAAAAATACAAAATATAGTGGGCAACACTTAGGAAAATATTAAGTATACATTAATATTCATTGTAGGAGAAGGAGCACAATAAAGAACCGGATTCAGATGTGGGCAAAGAAGTAGATGACAAGGATGCACCGAGGACTGAGGAGAACCAAGTCCAGCAAAATGGGAATTGTCAGCCAAATGAAGAAAACCTCTCTACCAAAACAGAAACAGTATAGGACCAACCAAGGCACCTCTGCACTCAACGCTGGAATCAAATCCAAAGCTTTTAAGTCTCAACAACCAGATGTAGTCAACAGGGAAGAAATCCAGTTGAGCATAAAGATAGCAGCTAACAGCTTTCCAACTGTTAGGTGACGTAGTGGTCATCTTGTTTCTGAGTAAGAGCATGGACATGGAGAGAATAGATGTTACTCAGCCGTCCCATCTAAAATCCGTGCAATTCCATGGTGGCCGACACACTCGTCATGTGATTTATTAGTGTTTGCCATGAACCATTACAAATAAATAGAACATCAGAGATCCAAATTTATACCATCTCTAAATATTGGTAATAAGCTTTGGAGGCTCTTTAAAACAAGGCTGGTTACTGAATTTTGTATTTTACTTTTTGAAAAAACAGTTTCAGTATATACAGTTTGATGATGTGCTTGAAATTGGTGCAAATATAAACACACCCTTTGTAAGTGCAAAGTATGTAAGAAGTTTTAACATTTACTTCACAAGATTTACAGTGATTGTGTTAAATTCTCACTTGTGTTTTCTTTTGTTCACTGTTTACGACAGCAGTTTTTCTTTAAAATAGTTTGACAGATTAAAATTGTTTAAATAAGTGGATTAAAAAAACAACTGACAATGCATGCTACTGTTCTCTTTCAAAGGAAGAGTAACTGTGTTGAATACTAATACTGTATTAGTATTCAGTGTTTAGAATCATTGGGTCTACCCACAAAGTGAGCATTTCTTTTTAAACTTTCTTGACATTTCCAAGCTTATTATGAATAATAGTTCAGTGTGTATTGTCAGCTATAGGTGGCAAAGGTGCCCTTATCTAAAGGAAACTGGGTTTTCACAATGGGCTATGGGAGCACAAGCTGAAGCTTTAGTGCCTTCTATGATGTGGTGTACTGTTTTCTAGAATTTTATACGTGCTAGTCATTCGCAATTCATGTGGAATCTAGATGGATAATCTATTTACATCCATAGAGAAGTGTGCAAGTGATGTGTCAGAAGAGCTTCTTAGTTCACCTAATAGGGGAAAGAAGTCCTGTTTTCAAAACTGACTCTAGAGTTTGAAACAACAATGCAGTTTTGGGACCATCAGTTTTATACTGTGATAATTGAAACACATTATTTTCTTTAAAGTGAAGGAAACCTTTTAGTTGTCTACATTGGATGGCCTTAACTGTTACCTCTCAATCATCTTCTCATAAATGATGTGCAGAAATTATACTTAACGGGAAGAATAGACATACCTGGGAGGTTTTATGTTCAAGGGTATGTTTCCTTCAGTTTAAGATACAGGTCATCCATCATTCTTAGGCTCACTTTTTGCTGAAAATGTGCAAGTAGTAAAATGACAACATTGCTAAGGTTTCCCCCAAAACTCTTTAAGTTGTGGTTTCTTAATTCATTTCATTACTGTTCTATTTCCAAAAAAGTCATGCATTATAATTAGCATGTTATTAAAAAATCAAGTACAATTATTTTAATGCAGTTTAATACAATCAGATTACTCAGTTGCCTTACCTCATGGGAAGAGTTACTTTTATAGATAGATTTAAAAAGCTGAGTAGCAGTTAGTTACTTGGTTTCACCTTGAGTTTTCTTTTAATGTTAATACTATTGAAGTTTGAGTATTTGGTAGAGAATGGAAAGAGTTGCCCTTACTGCAAGTAATGAAGCCTGGTTTGATTATGAAGCTGCTTAATCACTCTTCATGTGTTCAGAATTACTGTGTGTGTTTTTTTTTTTTTTTTTTTGGTCACTGTGTACATTAAAACTTTGGAAAATGCTTTACTATGTAAAGTATAGATGGTCATTTTAATCATTCAACCACATACGGTTGGCTGTAAACAGCTTATTCTGATATAAGAATGCTTGGGTGCATATGGAGAGACTGTGTAGGATTGTGTGTCTTGCATCAACAGCTGTCTTATTTATGATATGTAAGTAGACTAGAGCAAATGTTTGAATCTTTGTTATTTTTAGTACCATTTCTCTAATAAAGCTAAGTATTTTAGAGGAAATTATTTGTTTATGCATTTCAAAAGGGCATCTTAGTTTCATCCTGCCTTTCTTTTAATTGGTGTAGAGATTATTTTGCCATATAGAGTGCATGTTTTGTGTGCTGTCTATAAAACTATCATTTGAAGTTGGAGTGTTTTCTTATACTCTGTACTCTATTAAATGTCTTTCATGTTGGTAATTAACATTTAATCTGGTTCCTGCTGTTGATTTGTTCAGTTTAAAAATTGTAAAAATCTTGAAAGATGCTGATTTATTAAAGCTGGAAATGAATGGGAGTACAAGGGTTCTGTAGAGAGTAATATCAGATTATTATGCAGTATTTGACGTTTGACTTGGTCTTAGGGAAGCAAAGCTTTTTAGGTTCTAGTGAGAGTGTGTGTGTGTGTGTGTGTGTATGTGTGTGAGTGAGAGAGAGAGAGAAAGAGATTTTTGTTGACCTGGAGCTGATAATGTTTTCATTTGTAGATTTTTTTTTCAAGGTACTTTGTGTTTTATCTTTAAACCTCTTTTTCATCCCAGGTAGATGTTGTCAGAAAAACTTGAGGTAAGGCCAAGAGGACAGCATTTTACAGTTGATATCTTCTGATTATCTTTTTTAGCTAGATTATGCAAGAGTATATGCTTTTCCTTAAATTGTACTTGCTGTTCATCATTCTAGGAAAATTTTGTTGGAACTCTTATTCTTGCTTTTCAGCAACACAAACTGACCTGACCACATAGGACGGGCCTTCCTAAACTTGCCAGTCAGTTTCATGTGTGACAGCTTGTAAATCTTTAACTGCTAACTTACCTCCTTAGTTACTTTTTCTCCAATCTTATTATTTAGCCTATAACTACAGCAAACACTGGTCAGCTTATTTAGAAATTCCATATTTAGAATTCCATTTTGAAGGGCTTTAATGTATGCAATGTTGATTACCAGAGCATTAGAGGCTTAAATTTTGATTTGCTCAATTAAAAGCTGCCGTTTATAATGAAAAATAGTTTTTTTTTGGTTATGAAAATAATTTGCTTTGTAATATTCATCATTTTCAGGAATCTGTCCTTGCCTGTGTATATGGTATTATCCAAACCTGCTCTCCACTGAAGACATTCACATTTAAGGATTATAATGTATACTAATAGGCTTTTATAGGCTCTTTTTTTTTTTTTTTTTTCAATTTACGTGATACCAGAAATACGGAGCATGGTTTGATTTAATCATCTTTCTTTGATTTTTATGTTAGCAAAATGGATCCTTTTGGAATGATATATTGTAATATTTCTGTGGGTTATTTTATATTTTCATTAAAAGATAGTACTTGATTTTATCTGGTTGGGTATGAAGTATATCTAGTCTCCCAAAGTAAAAGTAAAGTGATCATACATTCCTTATGTGTTTAAGTATTTTTAAATTTTTATACTAATAATTTCAAAAGTTGATGTTCTTAAAAGGGCTAAGTTATATCTCTGGACACAGGAACCTGCTTATCTTTTAAAAGATAAAAATCTTTTACAGTAAAATTAATTTCCATACTTATTCTTGGGTTTGAGGGTGTGGGTTTTTTTAGTACACTTTTATTGGTAATTTTGCCCAGTAAGTGATATGTTATTTTAAAAATAAGCTAAAGCCATTTGTAATTTTTGGTCCATTTTCTCTTAGGTTGGATTTGATAACTAATAATCTTTCCATTCTAGTCTAAGATATTTTCATAATTTGTAGCAATTTATTTGTTAGAATTATTAGTTTGTGTCTAATAGAATTTTTCTTAAGATAGTAGTTTTAGAAGCTGAGTTTTAATTTGTAGCTTGTTTTTTAAATTTATATCTGCCTATCATTTTAATTTTGAAAATTGCTAATTTGGGGGGAGACATCTCCTATTTTATCTCTAAATTTTCTTTTTCCAGGATTGGGATGAAGTAGTTCTCTCTATTCTTAATTAGGTTTTATTTGTTAGATAACTGCTTAAGTATGTATATAAGTTCAAATTCTTGAAAATCACACTGAAAGAAGAGATTGATTTCTACCAGTTTAAGGTAGGCAAATGACCTAAAAGAATAATTCCCGATTCCCCCAAAATATTAACTTTGAGTATATGGTGTAGCTGTATAGGTAAAATTAATAGTTAAATCATTACGTTGATCTTGATTAGCTTAATAGAGTAGTGCTATGGAGTATCAAGGGAGGATTTCAAATGTGAACAAAGATGCTGCATAGGTGGTGTATATTTGCGAGTAGGATGACGTTTAAAATGGTACTGGTAAAGATTTATTAAATGATGCTGCTATTATGTTGCTATATTTTTAATAAAATGAAAATCTTAAAATCTTGCCACTGTTGAGTAGTATTTTCACCTATTTCTGGGACATTTATTTGCGTTTTAAAGTTTATATTGGTAACTGAAAGGTAGCAGTAGACCCTTCCAGTGTTCAAAATTACTACCAAAATTGATGTTTTTATATATTGGGCAATCTTCGTGTGGTGTGGCCAAAACTCCAGTCAAGACTTTCATATTTAAACATTTTGTGGTGTTCTAGTAAGTGATGGCTGCTTTTTGCATTTCCCTTTTGTTCATAAAATCTGCTTACTATGGGATTTGTATGAGGAAAATTGTTGCCCTGTCTTAACAGTTTTAATGCCTTTTCCCAGTTATCAGAAGTATATATTAGATACACGATCTGTGTCCTCAGGGTTCCTGGGGAGTGGAGACAGCATGAGTCCAGAGTTCCTGTTTAATAAAATAAATTGCCAGTCATGCACGTATTTGGGAATTTCCACAGATGTGTTTGTTACTGAATTCTAACTTAATTCTACTATGATTAGAAAACAATTTGTGGGGCCAGTGTAGTGCTACAGCAGATTATGTGGCTGCCTTTGATGATAGCATCCCAAGTTGGAGTGCCAGTCCCCTTGGCTCCACTTTCCCATCCAGCTCACTACTAATGTGTGTGGGAAAGCAGTGGAAGATGGGCCAAGTACTTGGGCCCCTGCCACCATATGGGAGACCCAGATTGAGTTCCTGACGCATGGTTTTAGTCTGGCCCAGCCCTGGCTATTGAGACCATTTGGGAAGTAAATCAGCTGATGAAAGATCTATCTCATCACTCTGTCTTGTCTTTTTTTTTTTTTTTTTTTTTGTAATTTATTTATTCATTTGTAAGAGTTACAGACAGAATGGAGGGCGATACAGACAGAATGGAGGGAGACAGAGATTTTTAGTCCACTGATTCACTCCCCAGATGGCTACAATGACCAGGGCTGGGCCAACCCAAAGCCAAGAGCCAGGAGCTTCATTGGGTCTCTCACATAGGGTAGCAGGGCCATCATCCACTGCTTTTCCCAGGCCATCAGCAGTGAGATGGAAGTGGAACAGCTAGGACACTAACTGATGCCCAAAAGGAATGTTGGTGTTGCAGGTAGCAGCTTAACCCACTGTCCCACAATGCCAGCCCCATCTCTGCTTTTCAATAAATAATTCTTTTTTTTTTTAAGAAAACTATAATTTGTGTATCTTTATTCCTTAAATTTTCTGAGATTTGTTTTACTGCTTACTTTGGTATGTGTTTTGTGTGCATTTGAAAAGATTGTGTTTATGCTATTGTTCAAAGATGTCATTTATAATGTTATATGATGTCACTTGGTAATTGATGTTCAAGTCTTCTATATCCTTACTTTTTGGTCTGCTTTTCCATCCATGAATGAGAGGCCTTGAAATCTCTTACTAGATTGTTACATTTGTGATTTCTCTTAGTTTGTTTGCTTTATGCATTTTGAAGCTCTGTTACTGGGTTCATAAATGTTTAGGGTTTTTAATTGTCCTTATATTAAGTTGACCGTTGTATCATTATTAAATTACCCTTTTTGTTCCTGATAGTGTTACTTGCTTTGAAATATTTTTTCTGATGTTAACACTAGCATTGCTGTTAATTTTTTTTTTAAACATTAGCTTGATTTTGTCTTATTGTATCCTTTTACATCAAACTTCTTTGTGGATTTAAATGGAAAATGTGTTTCTTGTGGGAAGCATAGAGATTAAGCTTGCTTTTGTCCAGTTTGACAAATTCTGCCTTTTGGTTGAAATGTTTAGCTCAGTTACATTAAATGTTGTTATTGATGTCATTGAATTTAAATGTAGTATCTTATTTTTCCTTTGTTTTTTTTTTTTTTTTTTCCCCTTATTTTCATTTGTATTTTTTGGGCTAACTGAACGCCTGTATTTTTTTTTTTTTTAAGAGATTATTTATTTGAAAGGCAGAGTTACAGGGAGGCAGAAGCATAGAGAGAGAGGTCTTTCATTTGCTGGTTCGCTCCCAGATAGCTGCAACAGCCAGAGCTGTGCCTATCCGACCCAGGAACCAGGAACTTCCTCTGGGTCTCCCACCTGGGTGCAGGGGCCCAAAGACTTCTGCTGCTTTCCCAGACCATAGCAGAGAGCTGGATTGGAAGAGGAGCATTCGAGACTCGAACCGGTGCCTATAAGGGATGCTGGTATTGCAGGCAGTGTGGATTTACCTGCTGTACCACTGCAGCAGCCCCAGTTGAATGCTTTTTATTCTTTCATTTCGTCTTTGTTGGCTTATTAGCTATAATTTTGTTTTGGAATCTTAGTCCTTTTTGTTGTTCATAAGTACAACTTTAGGAATATAGTCAGTTTTCCTGCTATTCCTGCCCTCCCACCCATACTCCCAACCCTCCTCCTCACTCTCCCCTTCCCAGTCTCATTCTCCATTAAGTAAATTTTTCATTTTCAATTAACTTACTATACTATACTAGGTATATCTATACTAAGTAAAGTAAAAATCTATACTAAGTAAAGATTTCAATAATTTGCGCACACATGGACACAAAAAAACATAAGTTTTATAGTTAACTCTCATAATAGAACTCATTGAGCCAGAGGTTCTGCATGAAGAGTTAGTAGTGCTCAGTGACTCCTGTTGCAAATTTAGCAATTTACACTCATATATGAGGTCAATGACCATCCAGGGCTCTTGACATGAGCCATCTAGGGTATGGAAGCCTTTTGAATCTACAAACTCCGTAAGTATTTAGACAAGACCATAAGCAAAGTGGAAGTTATCTTGCTTTAGAGAAAAGTACCTCCTTTGGTGGCCACTTCTTTCTGCTGGGGTCTCAAATAGATGCTTCATGTAGAACATTTTTTGTCAGTGTCTTGGCTTTCCATGCCATGAAATGCTGTCATGGGCTTTTCAGCCAGAACAGGAAGCCTTAAGGGCTGATTCTAAGGTCAGAGTTTTACTTAAAGCAATTGTCATCCTGTGAGTGCTGGGTAGACTACTTCCCAGGCTGGAACATTCTCTCCTTTTAATTTCTGTTATCAGATACTTGTTCCTACTTACATGATCACTAACACTTAATATCACTAACACTTTTTTTTTTTTAAGGGGAAGAGTTTATTGGTGGTGAAACCCAACAGATGGGAAGGAGGTGGTGAAGAAGGAAAAGAGGGAGGAGAACTTGAGAGAGATGAAGGGACAGAGAGGCTACTTTAACACTTAAGATGGCATTTTTACCACCCAGCCTGATGGGATTTGGGGTCCCATGACATTTTTAAACCGTACCCTTAGAAGTAAGTCCATAGGAATGTATGGTGAACTATACAGCTTTATAGTTATAAGCTTCCTACTCCCTTTCTTATTCCTACTCTTTTTACTGAGATCGATCCTCAATTGATTTATACACATATGATTAGCTCTATGTTAAGTAAAGAGTTCAACAAGTAGTAAGAAGAAAAAAAAATGGGGAAAAAAAAGGAGTGGGGTGGCTGGGTCATATGGTAGGTCTATATTCAGGTTTTTGAGGTATCCATACTGTCTTCCAATTGGGATGAGGTGAAACCTAATTGTTGCATTTCTCTGAGGGCTTGTGATCCTGAACATTTTTTGATGTCTGTAGGCCATTTGGATTTCCTCTTTTGAAAAATGTCTGTTTAAGTTCTTGGCCCATCTCTTAACTGGGTTGTTTGTTTATTGTTGTGGAGTTTTTTGATCTCTTTGTATATTGTGGTTATTAATCCTTTATCAGTTGCATAGTTTGCCAATAGTTTTTCCCATTCTGTCAGCTACCTCTTCACTTTGCTGAGTGTTTCTTTTGCAGTACAGATACTTCTCAATTAGATGTAATCCCATTTGTTAAATTTAGCTTTAACCATCTGTGCCTCTGGGGTCTTTTCCAAGAACTCTTATCCTGTGCCAATGTCTTGCAGGATTTCCCCAATGTTCTGTAATAATTTGATGGTGTCAGGTTGTAGATTTAGATTTTTAATCCATTTTGAATGGATTTTTGTGTAAGTTGTATGGTAGGGGTCTTCATACTTCTGCATGTGGAAATGCAGTTTTCCCAGTATCATTTGTTGAAGAGACTGTCCTTGTTCTAGGGATTGGTTTTAGCTCCTTGGTTAAATATAAGTTGGTTGTAGATGCTTGGATTGATTTCTGGTGTTTCATTTCTGTTTCATTGGTCTATCCATCTGTTTTTGTAGCAGTTATCAGGCTGTTTTTTTTTTTTTTTTAACTTTATCTTTAATTTAACTGAAAGACGGAGTTACACAGGAAGAGAGAGGTCTTCCATCTGCTGGTTCACTCCTCAATTGGCCACAACGACTGGATCTGTGCTGATCTGAAGCCAGGAGCCAGGAGCTTCTTCCAGGACTCCCACGTGGGTGCAGGGGCCCAAGGGCTTGGGCCATCTTCCTCTGCTTTGTTAGGCCACAGCAGAGAGCAGGATTGGAAGTGGAGCAGGCAGGACTCAAACCGATGCCCATATGAATGCCCAGCACTGCAGGCGGTGGCTTTACCTGCTGTGCCACAGCAACGGCCCCCAGGCTGTTTTGATTATAACTGCCTTGTAGTATGTCTTAAAATCTGGTATTTTGATGCCTTGGGCTTTGTTTTTGTTGTATAGGATTGCTTTAGCTATTCGAGGTTTCCTGTGTTTAAAAATGACTTTCAGCATAATTTTTTCTGTATCTGAGAATGCCTTTGGTATTTTGATTGGTATCACATTGAATCTGTAGATTGCTTTTGGAAGAATGGACGTTTTGATGATACTGATTCTTTCAATCCATGAACATATTCTTTTTTTTTTTGTATCTTTTATTTATTGCTTTGTATTTCTTATGGAGATCTATGATACTCTTGGTTAAATTTATTCCAAAATATTTTTTTTTTTTTTTCCAGCTATTGTGAGTGGGATTGATCTTAGCAGTTCAATCTCAGCCTTGGCATTGTCTGTGTATACAAAGGCTATTGATTTTTGTGTATTGATTTTATATCCTGCTACTTTACCAAACTCTTCTATGAGTTCCAGTG